TAACGGCGGATCGTCGCAGCAAAATGTCTCGCCTTGCCGCTATCGCGCACCAAATCCCAAGTCGCGGCTTGCAGTCGCAAAGCGATCATGAGCAAATCCGAGGCGCGACGATCCGCCGTTATTTTCTTGACAGACCGATATAACCTCCAACTCCATCCAAAAAACCGACCTGATAGGTACATCAAGAGCCGTTCTAAGCCTTCAACATTTTCATTTAATTCAACGTGGACAATGCCATATTTGGGCGTGGGTTGAAGACCTTTTACAGTAAGCCCCAAAAATAACCCTTGAAACCCCTTGAGATAAAAAAAAGATTAATGCACCATTCCGTTCATCGCGTCCAAGGCGGACATCCAAATGGGCCTGAACCCCGGAATTAGACTAAAGCAGCGGGCCCACAAAGTCTCCGGCATGTGCGTTTTTTCGCTATGAATGTCCCTTTTTTCTCCAGTTTCCCTTGATTTTTTTTTATGTTTCTGAGCATGCACTTTTATGAAAGTGCAGAGCTAAAAAAAGAGAAACGAGCCAGAGAGAGAGAGAGACATAATGCCAAATATTAAAGTTCAATCCCAATAGTATTAAATTTACATATGGCGAAGGCAAGGAATTCGAATGTAGGGAACGAATAAAGGGCACAAAAAATGGTCTTTTGAACCTTGATACGGTAGGGATCAGTAAGGGAGACGTTGACAAATAGAGGAAGAAATAGTCATCCTATTTTATGCCCTAGCTTTTGAAAAGGACATATAAAAACCTTTAAAAGCACCTTTAAAAGTGCAAAGTGAGAAAAGAAATGTATGAGAAATGCAATGCGGTTTGCATCCGGGAAGTCTAAAAAATGTGGCAAAATACCTCCCACTACAATAAAAAAGAAACTTCGTTTTGAAATGCGCGCTCTTTCCCTCACAAAGAGAGCGCTTTTGATTGTGAAATCGGACTTTTTTCACTTGGAGAGGGAAGCATTTTGCCACATTTTTGATACTTCCCGCATCCAAAATGTTACTTTTTTTGCCAATGGATCAGGTCGGCCACTGTGAGATCGCAATTTTCTACGACAAATGCGAATTATTCATCCTGCGCCTTTGCAAAATCCATAGGTATTTTTAGGAAGAAAATTGCCGGAAATTTGCCAACTGTTTGTGACTTGCAAGCAAAAGAAAAAGATTTATATCCGTGACGTTTGGAGCGTCTGCAGAATGACGTTTTCTGTTCTTTGAACTACAAAGACTTATGAGAAATTCTCTTTTTTTAATGGTCTTTTATTTTTAACCCATCGAGGACCCCTTCCTTTAAGAGCGAAATCCATAAAAAGTTCCAGACAAATTCCCTTCATTTCTCGCAGTAAACATTTCTCAGACATTCTTCCGCCGACTAGGATATTCAATAAACTGACAGAACTTTGGTCACCAGAACACTCGACCGTTTCCCAGCCGTGTTTTTGGTCTCCTAAACTTCGCAAATGGCCTCTTTTCACGTGCCATTCCAGAAACTGTCTGAGCCAAAATTAATTGCAAAATTTTGGCCAACCAAATCAGTCGACAACTGGCTTCAACCGATGACTAAAACATTAAAAATCATTGCAATTCTGTAGCCCCTTTGTTTGGAACAAACCACAATCGAAAAAGCGGAAATTCCAACAGTAAGGAATTTAGTCAACCAGCGCAAAAGGGCAGGAACAACAAAGAATTTTTTTTGTATTACAAAAGAATCTGCCCTCGAGGCAATTGAACTCGCTCCCATTGAACCGGACCATGGGAATCGGCCTTCATTACCCTTTTCTTCTGGCATTTGAAAAAGCCACGTGCTCTAATCTTCGAATACAGAGTGAGGCAGAAATGGAATTAGTTAAAAAGCAATTTTTAGCATGTATTTTTGTGCAGCTTTTGTCGCCACTTAATTAATAATGAGGCTCGAACATAAGGCTGCAACGAAACTCAAATCGCCTAAACTGATACTAGAGGATTAGTTGGAAAGTTTTTACAAGGAAAGTGCTTCTATGGGGTATGGAGTTACAAGTCGAGACATGTATTAAAAAAGCGCAAAATTTTTCTGATTCATAATATATAGGTGGTCATATAAGAATTAAAAACTTTGTTTTCCCAAATCGAGATTTTCGGTGCACAAAAAAGTGGACGCCCAAATCGAAAAATTGGCGTCGACTTAACTTTTTCAGCACCGAATTCCGAAGTGCGGTGCTGACTTAAGCACTTAAGTCTTCGGTGCAGACTTAAGACTTTGTGCACTGATTTCGAAAAACTTGGAAAAATTTACCGGGTTTCAGAATCCGGTGCCGAGAAAAAAATAAGGGGACGCCAGTTTTTCGATTTGGGCGTCCACCTTTTTGTGCACCGAAAATCGCGATTTGCGAAAAAATAAAGATTAAATTTTTAAATTCTTATATGATCACTTTTATATGTAAATATTAGCTGTCTAATTTTGGTTTGTAAGGGTGAAAAATCCCTCTAAACTTGCCTCGCAACACCACACAAATGCCTTTTTGCCCAAGTTTTTGCCAAATAAAAAGCTTTGTTTTGAGCTAAAGTAAAACCTGGTATCTTGACAAGCCTTACAATATCAAATTTGATTAATACTACACCTTAATTAGTAGTTCCAATATATAAAAAAGTGCCAAAAAAAGGGGCATTTGCGAGGTGTTGCGAGAAAAGTTCTGAGGATTTTTCCACCCTTACAGACCAAAATTAGGCAGATAACTTTTACATATTCTGAATTAGAAGAATTTTGCGATTTTTTGATATATGTCTCGACCTGTAATTCCATACACCATTAAAAAAATTCCTTGTGAAACGTAAATTTGAGCTCGAAATTTGCAAAAGCTTAGAAACTCTCAACCCACAGCAATTTTCGTCACCTTCCCCTCCGGGCTTTTCCAATATTTTCTCTTGCAAGAACACGTATAAAATTCGAAAACTCGAAAAATTAAGAAAAAACACAGTTCAACGGCTCCGCTAAATCCCATTAAAGTTGTTGAACCCAAGTCCAATTCGAAAAAAATAAAACTTTATTAGAAACGAGCGGAGATGGCGCGAGTAAACATTGCTTCTCGGCATGTTTTTGCCACCAGCGGGCAAACGGCCGAAAAAAGAAGAGAAAAAAAAGAAAAGAATGAGGGGCGAGGAACGAAGCCGCAGGAATGAACACGAGGCCACGAGTTCAAAAAGTTCAAAAAACAGACCGGCTTTTTTTTTTGCGTTTTCGCGGCCCAGACACGGCCGCTGTTTGCACCGTTGAACTGGCGGCAGGCGTTGGAGTTTCACAAGTAGGCGGATCCGGTTTCGGGATGTTTGCAGAGCGAGAACGAACGTCGTGCGGAACGTTGCAGAGTTTGGTCAGCTTTGCTAACGTCTTGATAGATAGATTTAAAGAAATAGTTCCTGATAGCTATATCTAAGAATGAAAAAAAAACTAAAAGCACAGTTTTGTAGAGGAGAAAAAACCGTATCAAATAAATATATACACTTTGCCAAACAACAAACAATCTTTGTAAAACAAAGAAATGAAAAAAACGAACGAACTTTCTGGACGACCTAATAGATATACTAATATGTTTATCTATCTACATAGATATACATACATAGATGTACCTATCAAGTCGCAGTGAAGTTACAGTGACAGCCGAGACATTTATCGTTTTGTGGACAAGAGGCGAGAGACTGCGCGAAATACGGAGCGGTCAGAGAGAAAAAGTCATTTTTCCATATTTCGGATAATTTCATGCGGAAGAAAACAATTTTTTGCAGGTATATTCTCCTTTACAGCAGAAAAATATAAATAAAGCTGAGATTTGGTCATCTATAAGCCTGTCGGGAAAATAATATGGATTCAAAGCGCTTTGTAACCGCCCAACATCTCTTTTCGGCGGCGAGCCGCGGCCGGAGATTTGGTGCGCTTCTTCGACGAGGCAATAAACTCTTTGCGACAAATCCACATTATTTCCCCGACACTGATATATAACACCTCAAGGACTTGGAAAAACCTTGATTGATTTTTTTGAATTAACTTTGCTAAGCAGGAAGAAACTCACGTAAAATGTTTATTTACAGTGCCACTCATTGCAGTAGGCGTGTTCAGAAATCGGGGCTGTTTTGCCCGTTTCAAATCCCCCATAATGAAAAAATTAGAATAATACAAAAAATGCATGGTGTCGGTGTTCACATTCAGGCCGTCGTGGTCAATATTGAACCTATTATTTTTATTATATCAAACCCCCAAAGTTTGTAGATCAAACCCCCAGATACCGCCCAAATTATTTCTTGTGCTTCAGGCAACGATGATCCGTTGTCTGCAGCTCCGACAGCATCCTCAAAAAAAACTTACTGACGACACTCTTTTTCAGATTGAATGAGGGGATTTGTACTGGGTCATGGGGGTCTGAACTGGACTGGGGTTTGTACTACCTTAGCCCTCAGAAATCTTCTTAGCGGGAGATTGCGTATTATCGGATGGGTCGGCCAAGTGAAACACGTTCATCGCAAGGGCAAAAGTCACAAAAAAATTGTCATGAACACCTTTCCTGTCAAAAGGACAAAACGCCGGATACTATCTATAGCTGAAAACAATCCGAAATCCCACATGCACTCTTATAAGTCGAGAGTTTACTGGGGAATGCACTTTTCCAGCAACTTCCCGAGGTTTGACCGGAAATTTGAAACAACATCTTTCAATTAGTTATGAGTGCAGCTAAAGGGCTTGTAATTAGATATGCACGCAAAGGAATTGTGGAATTTGAAGTTTCCCATTTACACCAAAAGTTATCGTGTTTACATTTGGAATGTAGGAACATTGAATGATCACTTGGAACTTTAAACCTTTCCTTTTTTAATAACATTGTCATAGTGTAAAGTCTCCTGTAATCTAGTTTATTATAATTATCCGGGAATTTCATTTTATAACTATCCAATTTAATCTAATTCTAATACTTTCTCTGATTTGCTGATGCGACGGTGGTTGCATTGGCTGCTTTAGTATCCGGCGTTTGTTGGCTAGTTGGACAGAGTCAACTGTTGAGCGCAATACTGAAAAATTAAGGTTATTTAATGATTTAAAAATGTCAAAGAGTGAAAAAGAAAATGGCATAGAGAAAATGTCAACAAATCTTTCGATTTGCGGGATTTTAAAGCCCCTCTGGGAAAACATTTAATTTCTTTAACACTATGTGACTCTGCTAGATCTTACAGGGGAAGTACACCAAGTGCGACGCTCAGATTTTGATGAAACTTGGCACAGATTTAGAATAATTGTTTCTAAAATATATGCTAGAATCCTAGCTCGAGCTTTGTAGAAACAGCCGAGATTTTTAGACTGAAAGTTTCATACCTATTTCTACTGTAAAGGTTACTTTTATGACAAAAAATTTATTTTTTCCGTGCGAAACGTGCAAAGTTATGGCCAAAAAGTGTTTCCCTTTCTGACCGCTCTCCGCTTTTAGCGTACTCTCTCGGCGGCAAAGATGGTTCAATATCTCGGTGGCGCTTGCAAAGCGCGAGCTAAAAGTTTTAGGAATTGATATAATAATTCAGTTCATGACCGACGTGCGTGCAAAATTTAAAGAAAATCCGAGCGTCGCGCTTCGGGTACTTCCCTTGTTAGTTACGCTACATTTTTACCATAAAATTTCTCTACTACAGATCTCCATACAACGTCACTGGCCTATAACGTATAATTTGAAAGGCCTCAACAGTCTACTTTGCCGTTAGGACAAACCGGATCTCCATAAAACTAATTTTTTCTTTTATGTACAAAGGGTTGAGGGTAGCTGAACCTGACGTTGCTGTACAGAGCTTGTGTTGTACGTATTTTCGATCTGAAGCCTGCCCATCAAAAGCTCACCTCACTCTCGTTCCGAATCCTGTATTTCTCGCTTCTCGCAACAAAGTCATCCACACTGCAACCAAGCCCTTTTCCAATCGATTTGCAGTCCGGAATCTCCTCACTCAAATCGAAAATCTCATCTTCACTTCGTCGATAAATGACTTTAATGTACTCTGCTTGAGTCAGCGGGTCTTTCCACAGTTCCACAAAGATGGCGCTACACAATGGAGCGTCGTCATTCCGGTCGTAGTCGAGATAAGAGAAGTTGAGATTGTTGAGGAAGCCGAGGACGTTGACATCGTGCTGAAATATACTTTGTGGTCACACCAGAAGAGCAAAGAAAAAATTGCAGTGGGGGACCTGACCCAGTGGCAAAAAAGGCGCCATTTTGCATCCGGGAAGTATCAAAAATGTGGCAAAATGCTTCCCTTTCTCTTCTTGCTCTTTTTTGAGGGAAAGGGCGCGCCCTTCAAAACAAAGTTTTTTCACTTGGAGATGGAAGCATTTTGCCACATTTCTGACACTTCCTGGATACAAAATGGCACGTTTTTTGCCACTGGATTAGCTCAGAATTTTTGATGGCCTACCGCTGAAAACACCCGATACTTGAGTTCAGTGGACGCTCTCTGATAACAGATCGGGTTGAAAATCTTGTGAAAGACGTTGTTGCAAAAGGATATGACTTTCAAGTCATGAACGAAGCTGTTAAATAATCCTCCGGACATCATTTTGACCAACTCGAATCGCCAATTAACTCCGTTTTGAGTGGAAACTCCAAATCCATAATTAAATTCAAATGCTTTGACATAAAAGTCGTAAATTTGATCATAAATGGCTTCGTATTCGGCGGAGAGATTGAGCCCTTTAGCTTTCTAGATCAAAAGTTATTTTTTATTGATGCAAACGCTTACCTCAGTGGTCAACGAATCCGCCAATACCATTAAATAGAGGAGAACAGAGGGCTTAAGGTTATTCGCATCTTCCAAGAACTCGAGTAGCTTCTGAAAAAAAATTTTATGATTTTTAAAAAGTTAATTTTACCTCCTCACCTGATTATCACTCAAATAATTGGCAACCTCGCTAGTGTTCAGCCCCGCGGCTCCCAATTGATCAGTGTAGTTGCAGTGACGATAGGGCACACCAACGATATCTAGATCAGAATCCGACGGAGACACAATATTCAGCGTGTCGAAGGTAATGTTCTCTCCGTAAAGGCCTTTGAAGTTGTAGAGAGCACTCTCCCTGGTTCGATTAATGTAGGTGGAGCGGATCTTGATAGCGTCTCCATCGAACGTTTCTGGGAGAAATTTGAAGGCTTCAATGTAGCGAGCGCGAATCCACTTGCCCAACTCGCGGTGTTGTTCTATTCCATACTGGAAAAAATAATAAGATTAAGGAGAATCCAACTAATTGTAAAACACTGTCACTATCAAAGCCGGAGTTGGACGATTGGGGAAATGATGATTGGGGAAAGCGAAAAGTACTATTTTTTCCGATGCAAGTGTCGAAATGGGTGCCGATTTCGAAAATGACGTTCATTTTTTTGATCCTTACTTTTTTCCTTAAGTAGTACTGTAAAGTAGTTATTTTTTGATTTTTTTCATAAATGCTCTATTTTGGGGTTTTCGATGGTGCTGATTTCGAAAATGACATTCGTTTTTTGATCCTTACTTTTTTTTAAGTAGTACTGTAAAGTAATAATTTTTTGAGTTTTTTTTCATAAATACTCGATTTGGGGGGTTTCGACATTGCTGATTTCGAAAATCTTATTATTTTTTCGGATTTGAAAGCAGCACCATCGAAAACCCCCAAATCTAATATTCATGAAAAAAATTAAAAAAATTACTTCTTTATAGTACTATTTAAAGAAAAAAGTAAGAATCAAAAAATGAATGTCATTTTCGAAATCAGCACCCTCGATTATCATAATTTCGGCACTGGCATTCAAGAAAAATAATACTCTTCGGTTTCGCTAGTCATCCTTTTCCCCAATCGTCCCAGTTTCCTTTTATTTATTTCAGAATGCCATATTTGGACGTGGTTTGAAGAGCTTTTATACCAAGCTTTGATCCCCAAAAATTACCCTTGATACCCATTGAAAAAAAATTATCCCTATCAAAGCACACTCAAAATTTCCTACATTAGTCAACTGGCCATATCCATAATCCCAAAACGACTCGGGATACAAGTCATTCTTGAATGACGCGGTTGGCGCTCGATCTCCATGCCGCCAAACTGCCGCCACATACTCCAGCTGATGACCTTTCACCGCTCTCGGCCCGAGCGTATCATTAACTCGAGCGGCCAATGAGACGGTAGCCAGCAAAGCGCAGACGAAGATCTTCATAGCCATGGATAGTTATGGAAGAACAAGGTACGGCCGAACCCCACATCCTCGTTTTATATATGACGGCAATTGTTAATAGAGGTCGAACAGTCCAAGGATGTTCCGCGTATGTTCGGATTTACATTTGATTTATGTTTTTGTTGCGGTAGCCGGCTCCCGGTTTTCCAAGAACAGGCAGGAAAAGACTAAAGGGTCGAAAAACGGTTTCGGAGAGAGGGAGCTTAGTTGAAACATTTGCCTTTAACTGTTCGTATCATTCGGACGAGAAATTCAAAATTTACCGACAAGAGTTTTTTGGGCTAGCCTGTCCATAACACAACTGCTCAAGCAAGCGACAAAGCACCTTCAATATGTACAGTATGTAGTGTTTGTTGTTGTAAGGTCTACAGTCACTGTAAGGCCTGAAAACCCCAAAGAAAATGCGTTTCGAGGACTCTCTTTCCTTCGGCGCTACGATTTTTAGGGTCAGCGACAGTTCGGGTCAACGATACTATGGAGGACCGCGGTTCGTTGTTGTGCTCATGGGAGGTTTAGTTAGTAGAAATAATAAGGTTGGTCGGGTCCTAGGATGACTTATCACCTATTTTGAGATATTTTACATGTATTCATATTGACAGTATCTAGAGAAAAGTTACGGATTTTTTCTCTAGATACTGTCAATTTTGTGCCGCAAGTTTTGGTCTTTTACATGTTGCAGTAAGTAAAACTAATGCTAGTGACAGATAAATTTAGGAAAGCTGCAAATATTTCAAGTCTCCGCCAAGCCTCTGCCGAGCCTCCGCCGAGCGTCCGCCGACCATCCAACGGCTTTGTCAGGCCTCGTAGGCACCTCATACAAATTTTTGTTTCTGGTCTCCGCCTGTCATACACCTCATATCGGTCGATATTTTCCCTCAAACAAGCATACAGACTTTTGAAAGTCCCGACTTCACGAACCTGACTCACAGAGGAAGTTCTCGAAGAGCGACGTTCAGATTTTGATGAAACTTGACATTTCTTTATTTGTAAGAATGTTGTTAACTTTGTGCGTAACCAAATTTTTGTAAAATACGGAAAAAGGTGTAATTGCAATAGCAAAATACGGCAAAATCCGCAAAATTGTTGTCCAGCTATTCTCCTATAGATTTGATGATGGCTGCTTTGACTTTTGGGAAGTTGACGGCCTACGTTGTAACAATTCGCTTAATTTTTTCGATTTTCAAATTTTTTCAACGTTTTGCAAAACTTGGTCCTGTTCTGAAGAACACAACACACGCGAAGTGCAACGCTCGTGAAATGAGTTTCCCCATTTTTAACACTTTATCACTTGTCTCGGAAAATCAGGAACAAAGTTTTCGTTCAATGAATTCTCCGTGAGTCAGAAACTATACTTCAAAAAATATATTTTACTGGATTTGCATCGAATTTCTGTCCATTGAACTCTTCGAAATTGATTCTTGGAAAAAGGGATTAACATTTCACTTTCTGTTTCGAATGACGGTACTCAATTTTTTGGAGGGCACAAAGTCCGTGGGTATTAAAAAAAATAACTGTGATTAGGCTCTTTATTTTGTGTGATCAAAATTCAACAATGATGTAAATCTATCATTGCCATATTGCTCAGCTGCCGTTTCTTTTTCAATACTTCTGAGCGCAGTACTGAAAACAAATACTCATTTTTTATAATACGTTGACATTAAAGTGGCGGACCTAATCCAGCGACAAAAAACGTACCATTTTGCATCCGGGAAGTATCAAAAATGTGGCAAAATGCTTCCCTCTCCAAGTGAAAAAACTTCGTTTTGAAGGGCGCGCGGAGAAAGTTCCTTATTCTGGCCACAATAAAGGTGCCCTGCGAACTGCGCCCAAGCTTGGGAACTGAAGTTAGGAAGAAAGGCTTCCACCTAGCTGGCGCTGAAATAGTATAATAGCTCTATAGCTTTAAAACTACCTACGAAGGCTATGACGACTCATTTAGTTCTATACGGAGGCAATAAGTTTCGTTCCGGACAGGTCTCATCGTATAAAGTGTAAAATCGCGGGCTGCAGCCATTTTTGAAGGATAAGGTGGTAGGTTAAAAAAACGGCGCTCACTTTCTAAATCCACGGCATTGACAACGATGAATTGAGCGTGCACGCCAAATTTGGGCTAATTCTGTCCAGTTTCCGCAAAGTTATAAGTTGTGGCCAGAATAAGGAACTTTTACTGGGCGCGCTCTTTCCCTCACAAAAAGAGCGCCTTTGAAGCCGGAGTTTCTTCACCTGGAGATGGAGGTATTTTGCTACATTTTTTTTACCTCCTGGATGCAAAATGGCACGTTTTTTGCCACTGGATCAGGTCCCTTACTGTACTTTTTACCTGTCTAGCATCGGATATTAAATATTTCTGGCTTCTCGTAATGAATCCCTCCGCACTGCAGCCAAGCCCTTTGCCAATTGACTTGCAATCCGCGATTTCTTCGCTCAAATCGTAAATCTCGTCGGGTTTCTTCCGATAAATCGCCTTGACGTACCTTTGCCGGCTCACTGGGTCATTCCACAGCTCAATGAAGAGAGCGCTGCCGACCGGCGCATTATCGTTTTTGTTGTAATCGAGAAACTTAAAATTTAGGTTGTTCAGGACAGCTAGGACATTGATGTCGTGCTGAAAAAATAGCTTTTCTTCAACGACTTAGAAGAGAAGTACCCCAAGTGCAACGCTCAGACTTTCTTTAAATTTTGCACACACGTCGGACATAAACTAAGTATCAATTCCTGAAAGTTTTAGCTTTCAGGAAACCTTTGCAAGCGCCACTGAGAAATTGAATCACTTTGCCGCCGAGAGAGTACGCCAAATGCGGAGAGCGGTCAGAGAAAAAACACGCTTTTTGGCCACAACTTCGCCAGTTTTGTGAGACAAAAATTGATTTTTTGTAGAAACATTACCCTCTACGGTAGAAATACTTACGAAACTTTTCATGCCGAAATTCGGCAAAAATTTTGAAATTTTCGCCAATTTTCAATCTAAAATCGTCGGTTGTTTCTGCAAAGCGCGAGCTAGGATTCTCGCATATATTTTACAAAAAATTATTCTAAATTTGCGCCAAGTTTCACCAAAATCTGAGCGTCAAACTTGGGGTACTTCCCCTGTTAAGATAAAGCAAATTTACCATGGAAAACGCCCTGTATTTCAAGTCATTAGCTGCTCTGTTGCCACAGTTTTTATTGAGCATCCTCTGCGATTTACTGGAGCAGAGTGCTTTGTGTTCTATATCATTAATGAGGACATTGAATAAACCGCCGGAGTGCATAGTCACCAGCGCCTTTCTCCAATCGAGTCTGCCTTGGAATTCAATATCTGGAAAAATCGCTGTCGTAAACACCTTTTTTGGCGTAAATACGTGTATGCAATGATTGCAAAAAACAAAAGATGTTTTGCCTAAAATCAGCCCTTAGAACTTATTAAACCGTTTGTTGTAGACAAGTTTTGTTGAGCAAGGATTTGTCATACATTGCTTCACAATATTTGCTCCACTATATTCTCCTTACCAAGTCCATAAACAAACCGGAACGACTGAATATAAAACGCGTAGATCTGGCTGTATATGGCCTCATATTCCTTGGCCAAACTGAGGTTCTTCTCCTTCTAAAAAAAATTTTTTGTTGTTACAACATCGCCATTAAACATTACCTCGTTAACAAAGGGATCGGTCAAGGAAATCAAATACAAAAGAACCGGAACCTCCACTTTTGTGACATTTTTGAGACGCGCAACTAGCTTCTAAAAAGCAACGTTGAAAATACGGTTCGACCTTCAACAATGTGCTACAGTGGAGGACCTGATCCAGTAGAAAAAAACGTATCATTTTGTATCCGGGAAGTATAAAAAATGTAGCAAAATACCTCCCCTTCCAAGTGGAAAAACTCCGATTCCAAAAGCGGTCTTTTTTGAGGGAAAGAACGCTCCTTTCAAAACGAAGTTTTTTCACTTGGAGGCGGAGGCATTTTGCCACATTTTTGATCCTTCACGACTGCAAAATGATACGTTTTTTGCCACCGAATCAGGTCCGTCGCTGTAGTAGTAACCAGATTGCCACGGCTCCGGAGCCGGCTCTTGGCTCCGGCTCTGAACGGCCCCGGCTCCGAGCCGGGAGCCAGAGACAGGCTTCTGAAACTTCTCAGCGTTCAGAAATGTAAAAATTTTGTGATCTTGTTAAAAGAAATTGCTCGAAAAATACTGCGATGGGGATTCGGAACCGGAGCTGCAAATTTGACCTCGGCTCCGGTTCTGGGAGCTAAGAGCCGGAGCAGGAGCCGAAATTTTGTCCGTAGCAATCTCTGGTAGTAACTTGCTTCGTTCTTCTTCAAAAATTTGGCGACTTCTCTGGTTTTCAACCCTTTTGATCCAAGTAAAAAGGAGAAATGGCAGTTAACAAATGGTGCTCCGATAATATCGGTCTCATTCTTCAAAGGAGACACGATTTTTAATGTGTCATAGGTGATCTTTTTTCCGTAGAGTCCTTTGAAATTGTAGAGAGCGCTTTCTCTGGTTCGATTTATACTTGTTGTTCTGATCTTGATGGCATTCGCATCATATTTGTTTGGAAGGAACTTGAAAGCTTCAATGTAGCGCTTCCGGATCCATTTACCAAGAAACTGTTGTTGCTGTATTCCAAGCTGGAAATGAGGTAAGCCCTGGTCAGAGTAAAATACGCATAATTTAAAGAATACTTTTCTATTATAACAAGACAACTTTTGATTTTTAAGTAATAAGTCCTAAATTTACAATCGTGAAAACCAAAAGGAAGATATCAGTTTTCGTCTTCCGATCTGAGTAGTGGTAGCTACAGTCTAGTGGCCAAAAACGTTCCATTTTGCATCCAGGAAGTATCAAAAATGTGGCAAAATGCCCCCTTCCCCTAGTGAAAAAACTTCGTTTTGAAGGGTCAGTCACAAAAAAGGCGGGCATACTTTTGAAAACTGAATTTTTTCACTTGGAGAGGGAGGTATTTTGCCACATTTTTGATACTTCCTGCATGCAAAATGATACGGTTTTTTCCACTAGATCAGGTCATATATGTACATCTGAGATAAATAGAGAAGGCTCTAAAATTATTTGATATAAAAAAATAATGGCATATTGTACATGATGACACGTGCGTATAACAGAGATCGTTAGCAAACGAAAATATGGCAAAAATTGTAAAAAAAGATGATCTACAGCGGGGCACCTGATCCAGTGGCAAAAACGTACCATTTACATCCGGGAAGCACCAAAAATGTGGCAAAATGCCCCCTTCTCCAAGTGAAAAACTTCGTTTTGAAGGGTCCGTCACAAAAAGAGCGGGCACACTTTTGAAATCTGAGTTTTTTCACTTGGAGAGGGAGGCATTTTGCCACATTTTTGATATTTCCTGGATGCGAAATGATACTCTTTTTGCCACTGGACCAGGTCCGCCACTGTATGCATTTTGTATGAACATTTATTGTCCAATTTTGTTTTCTAAACGTCTTTGTAAGACCAAAACCCCTTCTTACATTAGTCAACTGTCCGTATCCATTTTCCCAATACGATTCCGGATACAAGTCACCCTTGAAAGGACCATTTGGCGCTCTATCTCCATGTCGCCATATTGCCGCCATATACTCCAGTTTATGGCCTTTCACAGCTTGCGGACCAAAAGTCCCGTTCACATAACCACCATGACCATTCTGACATACTGTAAAAAATAAAACGCAAATGAACAGCTTCATAGCCATGATGGTGGAGTAACCATGATGCTTTTCAATTCAAATCGTTTTTAATTTTATATAGGCCATAAAAATTTAGTCATCATTCTCTGACGGTTTGTCTAATGGTTCAAATTCTGGAAAGGCTGAGGGTCTTTGGATTTATATTCGATTTGAGTGTTTGTGGTGGGAACGGCTTTTAGAAATTTGAATTAAAAAGTCTTTGATGTGTTTGGAGTCTGAAATGATAAGCAAAAGAAGTGAAATTTCCGGACAATGAACTGGAAGGGAACAGAAAATTAAATTGTTATAGACATGTTTTGTTGTACATATTCTAGGCTTATCGTGGCCAAAAATGGGACCTTAGGACCTCTTTTGTAGTGTTTGTTATAGGCAGGTCTCGTTGTTCTTTGTACTGGGAAATGAATGCGTATCGAAAACTTTGTTCGATATTTTGCATGCCTGTCTAAAAAGCAGCATAATGTCAAATTGAAAGTAAAGTTGGATTCGATCTATCAACTTGTCGGAAAAATAATGTGGATTTGTCGCGCCTTGAAGCTATCGCTTTGCAACGTCTAGCCGCAGTTGCAGATTAGGAGCAACTATGACGAGGCGAGAGAATCCTCAACGACAAAATCATAAGGCGTTATCAACCGTTTTCATTGACTTTGTATAGACGTGCCTTTATTATGTAAATCAAGGTGGAATGTTGCGTGATGCATGATGGAAAAGTAAACAGTAGCCCGTCAACTTGTCTGAAAATTATTTCAACAACTTGATATAAAAATTTGGTTTGCTGGTGATTCGAGTTGTTCTTGATATGCAATAAACACACCGATTGTTTTCTTGACATAATATATTCACGAATTATGCAAACAAACAGCCAATCGTGAGCCTTTGATGTTTTGGTGTCAAGAAATCGACAACTCAAACTTACGGTAGAATATAATACAAATCCGCGACCAGCTTCCCCAAGAAAAAGATGACAGCAGCACCTTCGCCTTCGCCTTTGCCGTTTATGTTTACACTGTGACGACTGGCAATACGAAAAGCCCTTTGTCGTAAAGAAGGTCACACGTTTATGAGATTTATTTATTCGCCGACGGCTTTTTCGTGTGTGAAAATGTTTTAAAACGCTTCGAGCTGTGGCATCAGCTGACTTGGCATTCTCTTCACGTTCGAGCTCGTCAATTCTCTCTCTTCGTTTGTCTTCTTGCCCTTCGGGCCATTTATCGGATAGATCTTTAATGTGTCGGGGATTATTGGTGTGTCCTTGGGGGATTTTTCAGAGAGTTTAAGGGAGTAAGTTGAAGGGATGTGGAGGTTTCGTTTTATAGTATTCTGGGCTTACCGAGCGGCGTATCCCTTTACTAGACAATACTCAAATATCCATACCGGTTAACAATTACATTTATTATTTCGAACACAACCATCTTCATCGCTTTTCCCTCTCTCCTTGATCTTCGATCGAGGCGCTGGGACTTGGGCTTAGACATGCGCGGTAACTCCGCCTCCGACTTACGTCATCAGCGTCGCTGGCCGCGACAATATTGTAAAAGCGTTATGAGCGTTCATAGAGTAAGTCGTGATATTCAACAGGTTTCTTATGTATAAGAGAGAACAAGAAATGAAGAGACTCGGCCGTTTCGACCACTTCATATATATTATAGTTGTCCCAGAAAAACTAAAATTTTTCAAAATCGACCTCAAACACAATACAGGAGCTAATTTAAAAAAAAAGCCCCTCGCTTTATACGATTCTAAAGCAACGTTTCCATTAGACCCATACTATTCCGAAAAAAGAAACAAATCCCTCCAAAATCCGAAAATTTTCCCGCCTTTGAGTTACTCTTCGCGATGTCTCTCGAAAAAGTATACTTTCAGAAAAAAACTCGCTCTCCTCGAAGCGTTAGAGTCCGATGACCTGCTGTTTTCATGCTGTAAAAAAGCGATTGAGGTGTCTTTTCAAAAACCTCAATCTCAAAATTGGTTGAAATTTTAAGTGCCTTTTTTTTGTTCGGGTTTAGAAAGATCGAAGTAAAAAAAAAGTTTGTTTGGTCAAAATCTGAGGAAATAACGGTTTTTACAATGTTTGAAGTTGCATGTGAGGTCATAATTTTACTTTGAATTTGTGTTTTACATGCCGGCTCTCTTCAAAATAACGTATTTTACATTTTTACACTTTTTTTTGATTTTATAAAATATGGATTTCAATTGAATTTTTGCGTAGCCTGGGTTCTCCAAGCTTTTCTCAAGACATCAAAATAACGTATCTTACATTTTTACACTTTTTTTGATTTTATAAAATACGGATTTCAATTGAATTTTCGTGCATCCAAGGCTCTCCAAGCTTACAAAAAACATGTTTTAAACAACCCGAATTAATTTCCAAATCACTTTTTTTCTGATTTCTCCCTCCTGTTTACCCTTCAAAACAAGCCCCTTACTCTTATTTTCCCTCCACTACAACATTGTTTTCCACCGGGTTTGGAAGAGCCGGCCCTCGGATTTAGAAGCGTGCAAGAATCTACTTGGAAACAAAATTTTGCCTTTCTCCCCAAAAACTTTCTTTTTTCCATAAATTCGTTTTTTTCGAAAAGGGCGACAAAGTTTTTGCGGAGACAAAAAGAACAAAGTTTATTATGAAAACAATCGGATGAGCTCTTGAGGGTGCTCGATCTCGGGTAATTGTGGGCGATTACGTCATTTACTCGGGTTTTTGCAGAAGTGGAGTATTGTTTTCGGGGGCTTGGAGACGTTTTGGAAATGTTGTTTTTTGGTAATTGTAAAGTTTTTCCATCATGATTTTTAGAGGACATAGTGAACTTTGGACTATGGAATTATATTTTTCTTAATTTTCAATTTGTAAATTTCGGAATTTATCACAAATGGGATGAGCAATGATTCTAAAAAAACGTTTTTTCCTAGAAAAATTACTCATTAAAAGTCATTTCCATCTTTTTTACAATATTTGTCTCCAGCGGGCATCGAACCAGCGTCGTCAGATTACTAGTCTTCGTCAAAATCCACTGCGCCATGAAACATTTTCCACGAAATTAAGGATGCAAATTACATGTCCCTGGACCAGAATTTTACGCTGATTCCAAATCTGCAATAAAATCTTGTGAGATTTTTGATCTGAAAGAGATACGCTCGATTTTTATCGACCAGAGATCATAACCAGTATGTTACAGTAATCATACCGATTTTGTATTGCGATTTTTGAAGTCACCGTCGCCCAAAACCTACAGACAGCCGGTTTTGCGAGAGTTTCCCTTATTGCGACGGCAACAACAGAGCTCAGGAGGGCAGTAATAGCCGTATGCAAATTTCCACCTTCCGGGCATTACTGGGCAAAAAATTTTTGGAACGCGTTTTAGGGACCTATATCAACATTTTAGGAAAAAAAACCGAAAAAAATGAATATAATATGCCAGAACTAGTCATATCTAGGCATGGCTTCGGGCCGGGCTTTGCAAAATTTTCCGGGCCGGTCCGGGCCGACTAATTTCCCGGCCCGATCCCGGGCTTCGATTTTTAGGCCCGGGCCGGCCCGGTTTTTTCTAAAACTGAGAAAAAGGGAAAAAATAAGCTTTTTCGACAGAATTTTTCATTTTTTTCGAACACAGGGCTGATAGCGAACATAAAGTGACCTTATTTACCACTCGCCCAAATAAAAAACAATTTCAAGTCAATTCGAAAAAAATTGAAAATTCCTAAGAGCTCAGCTAGTACACTGGCAAAAAAAGAAACCGAAAAAATTTTCAACAATACGCAATAGCCTTTTTCTGATCCGATATAACCTATAAAGACTTTTGCTAAATTCAACCTTTTGTGAAAATTTGTCAAAATTTTCTTTCCCCACTTTCTTTCTTTCCAACCTAGTATAAGAATTTTCCGGGCCGAACCGGGCTGGGCTTTCAAAATTTTCCAGGCCCGGGCTCGGGCCGGGCTTGGAGATTTAGGCCCGGGCCAGCCCGCGCCAGCCCGGGTTGCAGCCATGCTTAGACATATCTGATTTTTTATATAATTTATCAGCCGTTTTTGAAAAAATCTCAATTTCGGTTTCCTCTAAAAGTTCTATTTTCTCTTTATTTTGTTATATTATTCCAATTTCCCGCTTATTTTCGATTTACCACGCGAAATCCGCATTTATCCGTGTGACGTATGCTTTCCGATGCCCGCGCGAGATAAGGGGACCGCGAATCCGCAATTTCGATTTAAAAATCCGATTTTATTACACAACTTTTGCTTCTCCTTCGCCCAAAACTTTTTCCGAAATTCTGATTTTGGGTTTCATTTCAATATTTGAAGATGTTCGTTGGGTAATTGGATCTCTTTGACTGTGTAATCAGATCTTAAAAGCAATGTTCTTCCCGATTTTTCTGTTCGGAATTTTTTATTTTTGTTCGATTTTGAGTAAAAAAATTCATGATTTATTCATAAATTCAAGGCGAATTTAGATTTGGAAGGGAATACGTATTGTATAAATGTTATGTTAGTTGTTCATTGCAGGCCTTTTTGGAATTATTTTTGCGGTTTTTTTGAAACGGTTGGTAGCTGTTTTCAAGGCTTTTTAGAGGGATTGACAGGTTTATAAACAACGAATGCTTTTTATGGACTATTTTTCAAAGCTTCTTTTATTATGTTTATCAGGCTTATAGTTAAGGGAAGTCCAAGTGCAACGCTCAGATTTTAATGAAGCTTTTCATAAATTTACAGGGGAAGTACTACAAGTGCGACGCTCAGATTTTCTTTAAATTTTGCACACCCGTCGGGTATGGACCAAATATCAATTCCTGAAAGTTTTAGCTCGCGCTTTGCGGGCGCCGTCGACATATCGAACGATTCCTGCCGCCGAGAGAGCACGATTAACGCGGAGAGCGGTCAGAGAGGAAAGCGCTTTTTGGCCATAACTTTGAAAAGTCCGAAATTTTCACCGCCTTCCGATCTAAAAATCTCGGTTGTTTCTGCAAAGCGCGAGCTAGGATTCTCGCATATATTTTAGAAAAAATTATTCTAAATTTGTGCCAAGTTTCATCAAAATCTGAGCGTCGCACTTGGGATACTTCTCCTGTTAGATGATTTTTTCTATGAAAGGGAAGTATCAAAAATGTAGCAAAATGCTTCCCTCTCCAAGTGAAAAAACTCCGATTTCAAAAACGCGCCCGCTCTTTTTGTGAGAGAAAGGGCCCTTCAAAACGCAGTTTCAAAATGGTACGGTTTGCCACTGGATCAGGTCTGTCACTGTATGCGAGACTCCTACCTTGCGCTTTGCAGAAACGAACGATATTTTTAGCTCGAAAATTTGAAAAAAAATTACAGATTATTACGAATCTTAACAGCGTTATCGACCGAGATTTCTAGCCCGAGAGTTGGAAAAAATCTATACATTTTGCGAATTTTGGCATGTAAAGTTCCTTACCTACTTCTACCGTATGGACTATTGTATACGTACATAAAAAAATATTTTTTTATGTACATACTTTTTTTTCTTTGTCACTCCTCTCCGCGTTTTGCCTTCTCTCTCGGTCGCAAAGATCGTTGAATATCTCGGCTGTAACTCCAAAGCAAAAGCCAATATTTTCCGAGCTGACAATTGAGCCATGTGTAAACTAAAACTACCTGATAATTATCCAGTTTGTCTATGGTATCTTACCGCGTTTATACATATAATATTAGACCAATTTTTTTTCTTCGCAAACCTTATTGATAATGAAATAATGAAATTTTAGGTCACAATCACCATCAATCCATTTGATTCAATGTAAATTTTAATCGTACAGTCACAAAACTCATCATGTTCTTCCTATCATCCGTATTTACCATCCGTCCATCACGGCCATTTACCTATAAACTTCTCCAGATAATGCTAATATCATCATTATCCCAACTGGTTCAATGTGGGCCTCCAGTGATACGAGAGCAAGAGACGCCTTGGCCAAACTTCTCCACGCCTCTTCTGATATTGGTTGTGGCAGCAGTCATACTTATGCTGGTAGCGATCTCGTTATGTTTCCGCGCTGATGAGGCTTGTTGCGTTCCGGCGCTGGCAGCAGCTTGTTGTGAATAGAGGAGGGAAAAGTTTTATGTTTTTGTCAGAGTTTAGTATGATATATTGTAGTTTATATTATAGATTTACTTGAACACTATCAACGAAAAGATATACTGCCATCTTTTTGAGTTATATTTATAGAAAGATCGCTCTAGGCGCAAGAAAATCAATTTTGTATGAGCTGGCGTACAGGACCTGATTCAGTGACATAAAACGTACCATTTTGCATCCGGGAAGTATCAAAAATATGGCAAAATGCTTCCCTATCCAAGTGAAAAAACTTCGTTTTGAAGGGTTTCCCTCACAAAAAGAGCGGGCGCGCTTTTGAAATCCGAGTTTTTTCACTTGGAGAGGGAAGCATTTTGGCACTTTTTTGATACTTCCCGGATGCGCAATGGTACATTTTTTGCCACTGGATCAGGTCACCTACTGCAAATTTAGATTAGAGATTTCCGAAAAAAACATGGCGTTGTCTTGGATTTATCTTCAAAATAACTTCTGCCAAGTGTTATAAACCCTTCAGTTTCCATTTGCAAGATTTTGAGACCAGCTCTAACACAATGTCACCATTTTTCCGGCATTATAACCATTCTGAATATATGGTCCTATGCTTCTTGTAAACGCCTAAAATATATCTGTTATATAACACAATTTCTTTGCCTTATCTGTATATACCGAACACCAATCACAATGAACATCTTTCTGCTTGTTGTTTGCCCTCAATCAAAGTGCAATTACTCCTGTGTATTAATTAAGATCAAATTTCTCCATTTTATTACATAATAAAACTTTTATCGAGAATTTTTTCATCCAATATTAACTCTGGTCAGCGCATTCTACAAGTATTTACGACCGTTCCATTGAGTGCACGGCTTTATCAGTCCTCTTTTGTTCACTTTCTGAACTTATCAGAAAGCGCTTGACGTAAGAAAAAATTCCGTGAAGGCTGTCTGGAGAATTTAACTTTCAAAGAGGCCGAAGTTTGAAAAAAAAATACAGAATTAGAAAATAGCGGAGGATAAAAAATAAAAAAGGTATGTCAAAAGGGAACAAGTGACGTTTGATGACAAAAAAATGTCCGACATGGACTGATTTTTGAAGTTTAAGTGTTATAGATCAATATTTGAAAATTTTATCCCGCCTTTTCAGGGATGGGACTGTCTAAGCGGCCACATACCTGGGACAATTCGGACCCTGCAAAAAGAATTTTTCGGATATCTTGATTCAGTGTCAAGAGATCCACAAAAACTTTAAGGCGCATTTCTTGGAACACCCTGTATGTGTAAGATGCTCATAAACATATATTGAAGACTGTGCACTGCTATTACAATTTTTATGGACAGATCATCCATAAATGTAACTAATTGTTTGCGTCCGCGCACAGAGCTTAATTTTTTGCGAAAAAAGTGTAGGACTCCCGGATATGTCCTCGAAACTGAAGTACAAAATCTGAGAAGACCATACTCTGGTTATACATACATATCTTGGTTGACACCCCCTTGGGGGACGAGTATATGACAATCAACGTCCCTAATATGAAACTCTTTGTGTTTGTGAAAGTTAATTCAAATTCAGCACCGTATTTTCTAAGCCATATGCCAAGCTTCCACCAGAGCAATCACATCCATTATGTGCATCAAAACAAACTTCAGACATGAGCTTTCTTTCCAACGCCTACAGGAAGAAAGCACGTTTTCCGACCACAATATGAAAGGTCATTACTAAAAATGGATTCTTGTCCGACCGCCTCTTCACAACGTGCAAGGATGCTTGATGTTTTGTCGTTGTTAATTCGAACTATATAATCCCGACGAAAATTCGTCTTTCTTATTTTCAATCAACTGATAATGCACGCTTTGACCTCCAAAGATCAGGTGACAATAGAATTAAAAGTTTTTTATTATAAGGACAATCTTTTTTACCGTACGTCTTGTTTCTAATAAGAAAACGCAGTCATCGAGCATGAGGCATTCGACTCTCGACCGAAACACACCAGTGTCCACAAGGGCACACCCATTTTCTCGGCTTACAGCCAGAGATTGCCACGGCTCCGGAGCCGGCTCTTGGCTCCGGCTCTGAGCGGCTCCGGCTCCGAGCCGGGAGCCAGAGCCGGAGCCGGAAATTTTGGGGTCGGCTCCGGCTCCCGAGCCCAAAGTCGGAGCCAGGCTTCCCAGCGGTCAGAAAAGTAAAAATTTCGTGATCTTGTTAAACCAAATTGCTTGAAAAAAACTGCGGAGGATGTGACTTGACTGCAGAAACGTTGGCTGTATGATCTCTGGCACTAATAACTTTTATTTTCGGAAAAAAAATTTAAAAAAACATTTTACATAGGAGCCGGGATTCGGAGCCGGAGGCCTTTTTAAATTTTGCACGGAGCCAAGAGCCGGAGCCGGAGCTGCAAATTTGGCCTCGGCTCCGGCTCTGGGAGCAAAGAGCCGGAGCCGGAGCCAAAATTTTGACCGTGGCAATCTCTGCTTACAGCCGATGATTGATCCTCTTGTTCTTCCAAAACTTGCAAATGATTGATAAAAATAAAATAAAGAGGATTTGAAAGGAGTAACCTGTCATGTGATGGTTAAACCTTTGCTCGAATAATTCTAAGAGCTTAAAAAATCTTCAAGAATGTAAAACAAGCACCACAATTTTAGCTTGGGCTTTGTAAAGATCATCAGGATTTTTATGGCGTCTCCGATGTTTGGGCTCAAGAATTTCAAGTTGACAGGGGAAGCATTACCCCAAGTGCGATGCTTAGATTTTGATGAAACTTGGCACAAATTTAGAATAATTTTTTCTAAGATATATGCGAGAATCCTAGCTCGCGCTTTGCAGAAACAACCGAGATTTTTAGATTGAAAGTCGGCGAAAATTTAGGACTTTTTGCCAAACTTCGGCACGAAAGTTGCCTATTTCCAAAGTAAAGGGTAATGTTTCCACAAAAAATCAATTTTTTCTAGCGAAATTATGGCCAAAAAGTGTTTTTCTCTTTAACCGCTCTCCACGTTTAGCGTGCTCTCTCGGCAGCAAAGATCTTTCAATATCTCGGCGGCGCCTGCAAAGCGCGAGCTAAAACTTTCAGAAATTGAGATTTAGTCCATACCCGACGCGTGTGCAAAATTTGAAGATAATCTGAGCGTCGCACTTAGGGTACTTCCCTTGTGAGTAAGACGTAGGATGCACAATATCATTATGTACAAAAAAACTCAATTTTTGCTATTAAACTTTTACTCTCGTCGTCCTAATCATCCTTCAGCCATCCCCTTTTTAAGTCATCATCCTGTTCAACAAACAGCATTTTCCGAAAAAATTCTTGAGTATCTGAATTCTCGTCGAATTTGGCGATAATGCAAGCACTGATAAGCCACGAACACCCGTATAAAACGAGACAAAAGACTGTCCTTTCGACACTTTTGACCTCAACTTTAACATGAAGGTTCTCTTCCTTGCCCTCGCCGTTCTGGCCACCGCTCAAGCCGCCGTCCTCGACCGCGAAACCGCCCTGCACCTGGAGGAGCTCCGATTGGAGTTGATCAGCGCTCTGGAAAAGAACTCTTTCGCTCAGCAGAACCCGCTGTTGGAGAATGTTGAGATTCAAAAGTTGGGCAAATTCCTGTGCAAGCCTTGCCAAGCGCTGTTCGAGTTGATCAAGGTCGAACTGCAGAACGCCAAGAAGATTGAGAAGGCTATTTTGTTGCCAACCATCCATGTAAGTTGAGGGAGCTCGCTAGTTTTGCCCATTTTATCTTATTTTAGTCATCAAAATTTGGAACTTTTGTCATCAAAATTTGGGACTTTTGTCATCAAAATTTGGAACTTTAGTCATCAAAATTTGGGACTTTTGTCATCAAAATTTGGAACTTTTGTCTTCAAAATTTGGAATTTTGTCATCAAAATTTGGAACTTTAGTCATCAAAATTTTCAATAATTTTGTAAATTTGATAACCAAACCAATGTCAACTAGCATTTTTTTGATCTTATCTAATTGCCTATGCCCTGTAATGACTTCATTTTTTAGAGATACTGCCATGAAAAGCTCGGCAAAATCGAGCAACTCGAGCACTTGTGCGCCAACCTCGCCGATGAAGCTCTTGCTCGTTTGGCCGACTGGATCCAAGAGGAATCGAACAAAATTGAGCCTGACCGTGTTTGCGTCTTCCTCCACGCCTGCTAAACAGTAAATATGTTTCATGTACAATGCAATGAAAATTAGTAATAAATAAGGGATATTACTCATACAGATTATTTTATAAAAACATCCAGAGTGAATTGAGTTTTACAAAAATTTCATTAATGTTACAGTACACCTACAGTACGCCAAAAAATTATTTTTTTTTCAAAAAAATTATTAGCCTTTTGAGTACTATTAGTGGTAATACTACAACTGGCCTGTCTTGAAACCGTATTTCGTGCGCACAGTCTTACCAGCAGTGCTCCGTCCTCCCAAAAAAAGCAGCTTTACTTCATCAAAAACATGTTTCGTCGTATAAACGGTCGCCGCAACCTGCAGCCCTCTCGGGCGCGAGCCGCGAAAATAATTTTGCTATCCTCAAAAGGAAAAATTCAATCTGACGTATTTTACCATCAAATATAGCTAGAAAGTAGTAAATTTCGTGAGAAAGAGACGTGATTTTTATTCAACAAAGATTATATTGTTTTAGATCATGGGAAAAATAAATTTCGTGAAGAAGAAACTGCGCATAATCGAAAAAGGGCCTGCCAGGAACGGAAAAGTTTTGAAGAAGATGAGAGAATCGCCTGAACCGGATGCCAGACCTAAATTGAGCAAAAAAGTAAGATTTTTGCATTGTTTTTTTGAATTTTTGGTAATTCTGCCTGGTGTTGACTGTTATAACACGTTAATTTGTCTGAAGCAACTTAAATTAGCTTTACTGTGGTCTCAGGATTTTAAAAAATGTAAACCACTTGCGGAATTAGCAAAAAATCGTTCAAATTTGATCAAAATTTCGATCTATCATCAAGGATAACATAATTTTCAGTTTTTGACCTTGAACTCTAATTGTTTATTTAATACCCCGTTTCGGAGTAGTCTAGGAACTGTTACGTGACTTTTAGAACATGCATACGCTTCAGTAAGAACGGTAATAGCTCATCATTTTGTTGTGTGCTATGAACACTTTGTAAAACTCACGTAGATGGGGGTGCGGAACAAGATGAGGAGGAGATATTTAAGGCGAAATGTTTTTGATGTTCTAAGGGTGAGAAAGCACGTAGTCAGTTGTGATGATTACGACATTTGGAAAAATTGAGATCAAGGATAAAGTGGCTAGTATAACAAGTTTGATCCAAAGTTCGGTAAATATTTTTTTCTGAAATAAAGAAGATGTCTAGATAAGCTTCTAATTGTCCTTGATAAACTTTGTAGCGATTAATTATAGCGGGGGGACCTGATCCAGAGGCAAAAAGCGTCCATTTTGCATCCGGGAAGTATCGAAAATGTGGCAAAATGCTTCCCTCTCCAAGTGAAAAAAACTCATTTTGAAGGATGTCCTTTAGAAATGGGAGTTTTTTCACTTGGAGAGGGAAGCATTTTGCCACATTTTTGATGCTTTTCGGATGCAAAATGGTTCGTTTTTTGCCTCTGGATCAGGTCCCCCCTGTAGCGGAAATGTCTAGATAAGCTTCTAATTATCCTTATTAAACTTTGTAGCGACTACTTAACTACTTACAGTTGTTTTCAGAAGTTACGAGTGAGAAATCTGTTAGAGGAAAACCTAAGACTATGTGATCCCGAAATCTTCAAAGAAGAGGCTTTGAATCAAACACATACCGATGATTTTTTCACGCTCAGTCGATTAATTACCCCTATGACGCATCATTTCTTGAATTCTGGTAAGTTTATGCTATGATTTATGTTACACTTGACATTACACTTGGAAAAAAATTTTTGTTTAGGTATTCCTTCTGAAAGTTTGATTGCAATCCGCGACATTTGGCGACTCCCTTCGAAGCCCACGGACACCAAACCATACAAAACTTGCGCCGGCGTTTCTCTGAAGAAGGCGGATATTTACACCTTGCGGATCGGAGAACTCTTGAACGATGAGGTCATCTACGCCTATCTGCAATTGATCAAAAAGCGTTCGGAGGAGGTTCAAGGACTCCCAAAAGTAAGATTAGTTTTATTCTTCCATATTTTTTCAATTTTTAGGTCTATTGTTTCAACACCTTCTTCTACCCCGCTTATTTTGAAGGCGGATACACTAAGGTAGCCCGATGGACGAAGAATGTGAACATCTTCGAGTACGACCTGGTCTTTGTCCCAATATTTCACGGCGAACATTGGTCGTTGCTCATCTGGGACTTCCGCAACAAGTGTAAGATTTATTTGGACTCGTTGGAGGTCCCTGAAGGTGAAGATATTCGGACGTTGGCCACTATTTACTTCAACATGACAGAGTGAGTAATTTGGAATTGCATTTCCCGCGTTTCGAGATTTTTTTCACATCGAAAATTAAAATTTTTTTCAAGTTGCATAGTGTAATATAATTTTTTTAGCAAATACCTCAAAGACGAAGCCAAAAGCAGAGGAAAAGATCCTCGAGAAGTAAAAAAGCTCAAAAAAATTGTGGTGGTAAGTTTTTTTCAACAATTTTTTCTTCGAATTTTAGAGAAATGCAAAAAAATTTTGCTTCAGAACCGACCGATTCAAAGAAATGAGACCGACTGCGGGGTGTACGTTTGTTTGTTCGCAGAATATGTTGCAAGAGGCTGCACATGCTTCGACTTCTTCCATGACTTCATCTACAAGTTCAGAGCCAAGATTTGCCACGAAATTTTGGCCGAGAAACTGATGTGGACTTTAAATGGGCCGAGACCAGTGAAGCTTGTTCATGAAAATAATGGAGGAGAAGTTGAAAAGGAGGTGGAAGAACCGATGAAGGCAGAAAGCAGCAAAAATTTTGGAAATGGAGACGTGGAGAAGGAAAAAACACGAGAAATTGTGAGTTTTACCTAGTACAATATACAGGGTGCGCCAAAAAAAATGGACAAAAATTTTTTGCCAATATCTGGCTCTGGGTCAAGGTATTTGGGGAAACGTTTAGATGGAATAAATAGCGACGTTCAAGCAATATATTAGCGGTAAGAACGGAGGTATAACTTTATCTCAACTTTTTTCTTGGGAGTTCAAGTTGACCATGTTCTGATCGCAATTCTCGAAAGCGTGTCGTCTGGAAAGTGAGGCATAAATATTTTTTGAGGCGTCACGAAAACTTCAAATAAAAGTTCTCCAATTCGTTAGGATCTTTACTATCACATACATAAAGGAATAGTATTAGTAACCTTTCATTTCAATACTATGGACATCCAAACTTGAGTAGCAGAGCATTAAAATAAAACCCGAAATTCCGAAAACCAGAAAAAATATTGTAGTGAGAAAATGATGAGGCTTCGGGCAACTGTAAAGTTTTGAGTTAATTCCCGGCTGAGGACTTACTGAACACACGGATTTTTTGCTTTTCAGCGTCGTCATGCTTGGAGGTAGTGACAAAATTCCAAAAAAATGGACGAAAACCGGAGATTTTTCTTTAAAGATATGCTGCAAAGCTGCGGTTGATTCTACCTCGCTCAAACGGCACTTACTATATAAATCTACGTCTGCTCTATAGCGTCAAAAAGTTTCATGCTGAAACCTCTGCTTTCAGCGGAGATCGGAGGGTTCAAACGGGGACAGGTGGGAGCCCGCAAAAGTACCGTGTCAGTGGCTTCTTTTCTTAACTTTCGGAAACACTGAAGCCGTGTCTTGCATCTCTCCGTTGAATCAACGCATGGCCCGCATAGAATAGAATATGGGGGACATCTCATGCCGGTTTTTACAATTATTCTACCCGATAAAGCCGAGATATTCAATTTAGAAGCCATTCGTTCCAACGACCTGGAAAGATCTGGGTCAGTCCGATTTCTGAAGCTCTTCTTCAGAGCCGGAGCCTTTTCTGTTTTGGGTCTACCGCTTCCTGGGAACCTCTGGATGCTGCCAACATCCCTAAACATATATGAAGTCCGGGTGACAGTTGTACGGAGAGAACCACAACGACAAACAATTTTCTTCCGGGAAAATTCTTTAGAAAATAAAAACACATTTTGGTACCTCTTCGCATTTTTGTCCATATTGCAAAAATGTGAAGGCAAAGTAAAAAAGGGATTTAAAGGGTTTGCAAGTGACTGGTTTGTGGTCATAATGGTCACTTTTTCCCTACTCGTACCGCTTTTCGTGGCGAGACACAAACGTTTTTATTTTTGTCCATTTTTTTTGGCGCACCCTGTAATTTTTTTGATGAATGGAAGATTAATGGTTTCAAAATGTTGACATTTGATTGGTTGTTGTTTTTTAGCTTAAGATTTGTGGGTTTACTTTGTTTTAGATCAAAATTTCTAAAATTAAAGTTTTTGTCTAGTGTAATATAAATTTTAGGTATTTTTGGCGATTTTTTTATGTTTTTAGGGACTAAGCTTAACGTAGCGAGAAATTAGATCATTTATTAAGTTTCCTTTATCTTTTTGAATAGAATTAGAGTAGTTTTAACACCTAAAATAATGCCCAATCTTTTAATCTGTAGATTCACAGGAAGGTCCTGATCAGAAAGCAGAAGCTCAAGAGAAGCCCACAGAACCAGGAACAAGTGGAAAATGGCCAGAAAAACATTCAGAATCCAACGAAAAATCAAAATGGATTGGAAATTCGGAATCTCCAAGAAGAAAATCCGCGGACAGTTGCCAAATTCTCAAAGAAGGCGAAGAGGAGGAAGGTATCAGCATTATTGAAGAGAAAAATGCAGGAAAATGTGAGCGAAGAAGAAGTTTCATTGGGAAATCTGAAGAAAATCGGAAAATTGAAGAAAAAACCTCGTCTGTTGACAACGGAGGAGCCCTTAGAACCGAGCACGTCCCTCCAATCAAACGCCCGAGATCCGCAACAGAAGAGATCCTCGCAAGAAGGCGTCAGAATCAAGAAATTCCTCATAAAAAACCACAAAAAGTCGTCGTTACCTAAGGATGGAGATCAAGATGTGTTGGTGGTGGATGAAGATGGTAATTGCATGGAAAATGGTGAAGATGTAACGAAAAGACTTAAGAAAGTAAAGAAAAAATTATTTGCAAAGCCAAAACAACTGTAGCCACGGTTTCGTTAGCTGTTTTTACCAGTGTAATTTAGGTTATTTTAGTGTCATACGAGGAGAAAGGTATAATTTTTTTGTTGAGTTATTGTGGTTTATTGTTTTTTCCAACCCTTCTGGCGTTGGTTCCCGGGTGAATTCGTACATTTGCAGCTCAAAAGTATTGAATTTTTTTTGATTTTTATTTTTTTTGACACGAAGTGGACCTGATCCAGTGTCAAAAAACATCATTTTGCATCCGGCAAGCATTAAAAATGTGGCAAAATGCTTCCCTCTCCAAGTGAAAAAACTCCGGTTTCAAAAACGCGTCCGCTTTTTTTGTGAGAAGCCCTTCAAAACTGAGTTTTTTAGTTGGAGAGGGAGGCATTTTGCCACATTTTTGATGCTTCCCGGATGCAAAATGGAACCTTTTTTGCCACTGGATCAGGTCCGTCACTGTAAATGGCAAATTTTTGTCAAAAATGTAAAAAAAAATTTGGAGTTCAAAGGAAATTTGTATTGCATATCATATTTATTGACTGTTTGTTGTGTTTCATTGCCGATTATTTTGTTTTGCCATTCAATAAAATGTGCTGATATTGTACTTGATGATAGGTTAAATTTTTATGGTGAATTGATGATTCCAATGAATATATTGAAGAAGAAGGCGAGTAGTGGTGTGAAATGGAGGTACATGAGTGAATTTATCAGTTTTACGATGTAGTTTTTGTTTTTTACCTTATTTTAGTTGATCTCCCGGATCAGTTCGAAGTCCAAATTGGTAGCAGAAGTTGGTCTCAAATTGACGTTAAATGGTAAGAAGAGGAATCTAAGAGGCTTTTTGATTATTGGTAGACGATTTTAGTTAGTTTTATTAAGATTTGTCAGCAAGAATTATATTATACATCACATCTGGTATGAAATTTTTAATTTCAGGACCGGCCTCGCCCTCAACACTTTCGCCCACGAGGCGGGAACCCCGGCCGAGGCAGAGGACAGCCCTATCGAGGCCATCGACCCCACCCATACGCCCCACCAAGCCGTCCACCCCGCCCGAATCCACCCCCACCAAAACGAACCCCCACCCCCACGCAACAACAGGCCGGTCAAATCGCCCAACAGCAGGCACAACGGACCAAAAATACGATGGAATTGAACCTGCATAAAAAGAAGACCTTCCGGAATACGATGAAAACTTGCATCGAAGCCGCAAAGTTGTTGGCCAAACAGAAGAATGACCCGGATTTTTCCAAGAATTTCGCGGCTTTGCAAAGCAAATTGGATGAGCTGATCTATGTGAAGCCGGATCAAGCCACCATGACCATTCAACAGGAGCTGGATTTGGTCAGGATGGTCATAGAGTTTTATAAGGTAGATTGCTTGGACTTTTGAGGTTTTTTCGGTGTTTTGAAGGATTTAATTGAGCTCGTGTGGTGTTTGAAGCCATGTGGAGCATTTGTGATTCTTTTTGATTCTATAATTTGAAATTTTTTCCGGATTTTTGTGCTAATTTTTGAAATTTTGGGGTTTTGATGAACCCATTTAATGCCTAAAACAAGGAAATAAGCATGCTCAGATTTCCTTTTACTCAGATTTCCAAAGCGCGCCCGTTCTTTTTGTGACGGAACCCTTCAAAACGAAGTTTTTTCGCTTGGAGAGGGAAGCATTTTGCCACATTTTTGATACTTCCCGGATACAAAGTGGTACGTTTTTTGTCACTGGATCAGGTCCCCCCACTGTAAATAAACCTAGACGTGGAAGTGTCAACCGCGGGATCCTGAACACGTATTAGGTTGTCCAGAAAGTTCGGTCGTTTTTTTATTGCTTTGTTTTACAAAGATTGTTTGTTGTTTGGCAAAGCAAATATATTTATTTGATACAGCTTTTTCTCCCCTGCAAAACTGTGTTTTTAGTTTTTTTTTTGAAAATTTAATTTTTGATTTTTTTTCGGGTGCGGTAAACGCAAATTTTTGCCTGCTGGGTAGTTCACTTTTGAAAATAATAAAAAATTTAATTTTCAAAAAAAACGAAAAACACAGTTTTGTAGAGGAGAAAAAACTGTATCAAATAAATATATTTGCTTTGCCAACCAACAAACAATCTTTGTAAAACAAAGCAATAAAAAAACGACCGAACTTTCTGAACAACCTAATACGTATTCAGGATCCCGCGGGTGACACTTCCACGTCTAGGTTTATTTACAGTGGGGGACCTGATCCAGTGACAAAAAACGTACCACTTTGTATCCAGGAAGTATCAAAAATGTGGCAAAATGCTTCCTCCAAGTGAAACAACTTCGTTTTGAAGGGCTCCGTCACAAAAAGAACGGGCGCGCTTTAGAAATCTAAGTTTTTCACATGGAGAGGGAGGTATTTTGCCACATTTTTGATACTTTCTGGATGCAAAATGATACGTTTTTTGCCACTGGATCAGGTCCCCCGCTGTATGCTTATTTCCTTGTTTTAGGCATCAAATTGGTTCATCAAAACCCCAAAATTTCAAAAATTAGCACAAATATCGGGAAAAAATTTCAAATTCTTGTTTCAGGATCCCGCGGTTGACCCCTCCATCCGCTACGACTGCTTCTACACCATTTTCCTGGCCAGAGAAGCGCAGCCTCGGCTGCACGAACGCCGAATCTCCGTCCTGACCCGCCTCTGTTCCATCGCTCTTCAACTGGAAGTGTTCCCGATCTTTGATGACCTCGCCACATACTGGCTGAAAAACCCCGCGGATCCGTCGATTTCTCTGGTCACGGAACGTCTCATCAACGATTTCGTCAAACCCCCTCCGGCATATTCAATCTTCATGGGGTTGTTGCCGTTGAGAGAGAAGGCATTGGAATTTTCCTGCATTTTCCTGTCCCACGGGATAAACGCTGATGTTTATGGACCACAAATTGTCACCATTGTGGGGCAGTGGCTGACCGAAGATCTCACGGACACGCTGGAGTTTTTTGGAGAGCATCCGGCGCTGGCAAAGCGGTTTGGGGAAACGGTAAGGGGAAATGGGAAGGTAGAGGGGTCTAGGGAATGAATCTGACAAAAAACTTACCATTTTGCCCCCGGGAAGTATCATAAATGTGGCAAAATGCTTCCCTCTCCAAGTGAAAAAACTCCGATTTCACAGCTTTTTTGCCGCCACCGATCGGTCCCGATTTTCGCTCAAAATGACAACAGGGCTGCGCGCCTCAGCTGATAACTACAGTGGGGCGGATCCAATGGAAAACGTCTCATTTTGCATCCCGGAAGGGACTAGAATGTCTCCAAACCTTTCCCTTCTCTAAGCTAAAAAACCCCGCTTTGAATTGCCCGCCTTGAAGGAAAGGGCGCGGTCCCTCACTGTAGCTAGCCCGAAAATGAAAAAGAGTAAAAATTGGTTTTTAGTACAAAATTTCAAGTTTTTTTTATTCATGGATAAATGCACTTTATCAGGGTGTAATTGTCAAAAGATGGTAACATTCCATAGCACATTGCCTCTTGTATGGAATATCCAAAAATAAGGAAAACTCCGGCCCTTAGGGCACTACAAAATCCAAAAAACAGCCAAAAAAGCGTTTTTGCATGTTTTTCGGGATTTTTTCGCGATTTCAAAAGCGCTCATTTTCTTCTTGTGATGAAAAAGAGCGCGCCCTTCAAAATAGTTTTTTAACTTGAAGAGGGAAGCATTTTGCCACGTTTTTGGTGCTTCCCGGATGCAAAATGGTACGTTTTTCGCCACTGGATCAGGTCCCCCAATGTATAATTTTCTCCAAAAAAATTGCCACGCATGTCTAGTGCAATATATTTTTTTGATTTTTTGGTAAAATAATATTGTCACTACCCTTCTTGGATCACAAGGAGCTTATTCATTGATCCAGGTCGTGTATTTTCATTTTTAACAGCCCTTTTTCAGACCCTTCCACTTCTTGTTCAATGGGATGTGGATCAAGAAAATTCCTCGGAAGAAACGGACCGTTTCCACTGCGCAATCACCGGCCTGATTGTGTTCTGGCCGCAGAAAAAGAACCCGCTTTCGCTCGACGTATTCATTAACCTTATTTCCACGGCGGATTCCCTTCAACCCCGCCAAATCACCCGACTTTTGGCCAATTCAACGAACGCCATAAACACTGGCATGTTCCCAACTCAGCGATTTATAGAGACGTTCGCAAACGCTGCGACTCCAAAGGTTTTGAGGCAATCGCCATTTGCCGAATTGATCGAGAAATCGTTCGAAAACAAATTCCACTTCTAAAGGACCAAGTGTCATGTAATTTGACGATTTTTTATGGGTTTTTGGGGATCCCAAAGATTATCAGAGAATTTCTTGGGCCTCTTGGACCATTTACAACCTGATATGTCAAGATTTATTTTTAAATTATTCGCAACAAGACCGATAAATACTGTAAACATATATACATCTGAGATAAATAGAGAAGTCTCTAAAATTATTTTGATATCAAAAAATAATGGCATATTATACATGATGACACGTGCGTATAACAGAGATAATGAGCAAATGAGAATATGGCAAAATTGTAAAAAAACGATGATCTACAGTGGGGGACCTGATCCAGTGGCAAAAAACGTACCATTTTGCACCCGGGAAGCACTAAAAATGTGGCAAAATGCTTCCATCTGCAAGTGAAAAAACTTCGTTTTGAAGGGCTCCTCACAAAAAGAGCGATCGCGCTTATGAAATCGGAGTTTTTTCACTTGGAGAGGGAGGTATTTTGCCACATTTTGTGATGCTTCCTGGATGCAAAATGGTACGTGCTTTGCCACTGGACCCCCACTGTAAAAAAATGTGGAGATGGCGCTAAATTTTGAAACCTCAATGTTAAAGGAGAGAGAAAACCGCCTTAGGCGTTGTAGTGAATAGCCTCGGGCACCAGATTCAACTCCTTTCGAGACACCTCTCTCAGCACGTTCTTCTTCACCTTGCCGGTGACGGTCATCGGGAAGTCCTGCTCCTTCTTGAACAGCACATATCGCGGCACTTTGTAGTGCGCAATCTTGCCCTTGCACCACTCCTTCAACTCGGCCTCGGTGAAGTTCTCGTGCCCGTCCTTGAGTCGGATCCAGGCGCACAATTCCTCGCCGAATCGCACGTCCGGCACTCCCACCACATGCACGTCCGCAATCGAGTCGTGCGTGAAGAGGAACTGCTCCACCTCCGCCGGATAGATGTTCTCGCCGCCGCGGATCACCAGGTCCTTGGAGCGGCCCGCAATCTTCACACTTCCATCCGGCTCCATCACTCCAATATCTCCGGTGTGATACCAGCGATCGGGCGTGATCTCCTTCCGCGTCTTCTCCTCATCGTCCCAATACCCGCGCATCACCGAGTAGCCGCGCACACAGATCTCGCCCGGCTCTCCGATCGGCTGCACGTGCCCTTCGGTGTCGATGATGCTGACCTCGACGTGCTCGCAGATCGTGCCCACCGATTCCCAACGCTTGGGCGCTTCCACTTCCGAGCGAACCATCAGGCACATCGGGGAGACCTCGGTGGAGCCGTAGGCAATCGCGAGTTTGTGGAGATTCATTTCCTCGGCCAGGCGTTTCATCATGTCTGGAAAGGAGAAGGTTAATGTTGGGAGTATGGAAGAGCATCTATATACATATATTGCACTCGAAAGTTTAGTCAAAAAAATGTATTTTTAAGCGTAGAAAGTACAGTGGGGGAACAGATCCAGTGGCAAAAAACGTACCATTTTGATCCGGGAAGGATCGAAAATGTGGCAAAATGCTTCCCTCTTCAAGTAAAAAAACTTCTTTTTGTTGGTGAGGGAAGCATTTTGCCACATTTTTGATACTTTCCGATGCTAAATGGTACGTTTTTTGCCACTAGATCAGGTCCCCCACTGTATTGAAATGTCCCTAAAGCCCCAAGATTTCCATCTTCTTCTTACCTCTAGGACAAGGCGATCCAGCGACCATTCCATTATACAGCGACGACACATCTGTCTTTTGCAAATCCGGGTGATTTAGACAATCAATGAACATGGTCGGTGTTCCAAACAATGACGTCACCTTCTCCTCTCTGATCGCATGCAAAGTCGACTTGGCGTTGAACCAGGCCGACGGGAAAATGGCGGTTTGTTGGTGAACTACGGAGCTCAACTCGCCGCAAACCGATCCCAAACAATGGTAGAGAGGGTTGGGCACACAAATTCGATGATCTCCCTTGTCGAATTCGAGCCGAAGACCGGAGAAGTAGGAGTTGTTCACAATGTTGTGGTGGGTCAAAGTAGCCGCCTTGGGATGGCCAGTAGTGCCCGAGGTAAATTGAATATTGGCAGGGTCGTCGAATCGAACGCGATTTTCGTATTCCGCCAGGGTTTTGCGGGCATTTGAGCCGTTGCCGCCTTCAGCGACGTCCTTCAAGTTCCAAGCGCCCTTGAGGTTGGTGTGGTTGCCAAATACGATGAGATGTTTGAGGTCGGGGAGGTTCTTGGAATGGACACTTCCACAGCCGTCGGGGAGAATCGTGAGCTCCGGGATGATCTCGTGGATTGTGCTGGAAAAATTGGAGTTAAATATAACATCAATAGAGGATGATTTAAGTTTTGGTTTGAAAGCTCTATAAGCGTTTCTAAGGCTTTCAATTTCAACGTTTTGTTAGCTCACTTGTAATATTTGCTTTTCCTGAATTCGGGTGGAGTCACCAATGCTGACACTCCCACTTTCCGCAACGCAAATCTGAGCTCTTCAGTCTGATATCCGGGGTTAATATTGACCAGACAAAATCCCCCAAGAGCTGCCGCATACTTGGTCAACAACCATTCATAGTAATTCGGGCCCCAGATTCCAATCCGATCGTTTCTTTGCAGCCCGAGGTTGCAAAATCCCGCCGCCAATTGGGAGGCCTCTTTATGGAATTCCTCATAAGTTTTTCGGGTGTTCTCCTCCAAGAAGATGCAGATCTCCTTGTCCGGCACGGTCTCAGCACCAAGCTTGAGCCGCTGGCCGATTGTGTGATTCAGAAGAGGCGCGTTGGTGGCGCCATGGACGTACGAAAATTGCGTTTCCACATCCGGCACGGGGCTTTTCACCGCCGCGAATTGTTTCAGATTGGTTGCCAACTTTGTGTAGCGGGGAATCGAGGTTTTCAACGCCATTTTTAGATCTGAAATTAGTCAAGGTTAACGCGTATGGCTTTGAATTTTCTGATGACATAAAAAGGTTAATGCCTTAGGCTGTGAGTTTTGTAAAAAGTAAAAATCGAATTTTCGCGACCGAAAAAATGTACTAAATATGTAAACAGTCGTAAAATTTACAACGGCCGAGTATCATGTTAAAAAATAAGATAAATGATTAAGGAAATAGAAAGGTTCCCGTCTCTGTAAACAACTTTTTTGACTGTCAACAGTTTGCAGACCAATAGCTCAAAGGGCATTTCACCGGGCCTATGGTAGTCTAGACTGGTTGTAAAAAAGTTTGCTCCAAGAAAAAAGAATTTCTAGCAGAGAAAAGCAAGGTAAAATACGGCGTTGTCGAAGTTTAATTTAGCCCCCAAAAGACGTCAAGACTAGCTCAGAGTTCTCTGATCCCAAGTGTTTCCTCTTTTCGTAAAAAAGCCGTTCTTTGATCAACCGAGAGAAGTTTCTTTTATGAATTTATTGTTTGTGCTTCTTCTAGAAGCCCATGTGATTAGAGAACGGAGAAAGACCAAAAAATTGTTCTTGCAAAACAAAAAGGATCCTTAGATTTCACACTTGTTTGAAAGTAAAGGATCTTCCATCATGCGGCGTCTGTGGGTTTACAGAGGCTGACAACCCGCCTTTTAGCCACTGTTAAAGCAAAAGAACTAATATTGGAAAAAAATTAAAAAATCGCAGATGTAATGCTACAAAGGGGCCGACCAAAAATGCGGTAACAAACTCCATATTGGACCATATACCAGTTCTTGAAAATCTCAGTTTGCTCTTTGCCCGCAGCCAAAATATTCAATGGTTTGTCGAACATACGCTTGCGGACCTGATCCAGTGGCAAAAAACGTATCATTTTGCATCGAGGAAGCATCAAAAATGTGGCAAAATGCTTCCTTCTCCCAGAAAAAAGCTCCGATTTCAAAAGCGCGACCAGAACTGCCAAGAACTCTTTTGGTGAGGGAAAGGGCGCGCAGTTCAAAACGTAGATTTTTCATCTGGAGAAGGAGGCATTTTGCCACATTTTTGATACTTCCTGGATGCAAAATGGCACGTTTTTTGCAACTGGCTCAGGTCCCTCACTGTAAAGGAAAATTAAAGAAAAAATATCATCTCTTTTGGGGCTAAAAAACTTTTCTCAAATGTCCTAATAATTCCGCTGGTGCTACAGCAAAGATTTGTCTTAATCCGCGGCAAATTTTTTGGGCTCTTCACTTCATAGCCTAGACTGTTATACTCCCTCTATCAATATCACTGAAATTCAGTCTTTTTAGACCCAACAAACTCTAGATTCTTCTACTACCTATGCCGTAGTTCTATTCTCCACACAACCCGAACAATGTGCTTCCCGAATCGGCGCAAAAATAGAGTCCATCCGCTGCATCCACCTCGCCTTATATACCTCTGCAGTTTGGTGCCGTTTGTACGTTCTTTGAAATTATTACTCCACCTCGTTTGGTCGGCCCCTGTCGTTTGTTTTCCCCCATCGAAGATGTTCTTTAGACGCGAAAAACGTGACAGTCCGAGAAGACGGCGGGCGAACGGAGAGACGCCAGAGTCGTTGGGTTTAATTGATAAACAGCTGCTTGAGGCGATCCGTTCTTTGGTGCCACGAAGATAGCCGTATATTGGGCTGGGGTGAGCAGAGAACGCGAAGCCCTATCATCGATTCCATGCAAGGTACCCCAAGTTTGGAATCAAAATTGAAAAAGACCCTTTTTAGGCATCATGTATGCACTAGATTCCTTGTTGATTTGACTTCAAAAAAGTCGATTTTTTGAACTCTGGTCTAGACTTTGACTATTTTTTAAATGTTAACTGAATCTTACAGTCTTTAGTTCAAAGTATGTTGATTTGAATTTAATCATTTACCTTTCCCCGTAGGCTATGACAAAACTTTGGTCTCGAAGTGAAGGCAAGCAACTTTTTTCTTACCACCGTTGATGATAAGCAATTGTTGACATGTCTTCTGGTCAATTTATTGTCATATAGATTTTGTAAGCAAGGTTAAATGGGCAATTGAAGAAGAATGAGAACTCTTCTTCAGTAGAGTTGATTTGAGGATAATTATTGTTTCGTAGGCTACTGCTTTGCATAGAAAACACTGAAATTATAATTCACTGATTCGTGTTAGCTAAATTTTTTTAAAGTTTTCCAAGATATATGGGAGATCTTATGCACGCACTTTTCAGAAGCCATCAAGATTTTAATAATCCCATCTTTTGAATTGGCCGTTTGCCATCTTTCTTATTGTTTTTTGTCTTTAAAGTTTGCTGCATATCTTGGCTGCACCTAACACTGTCAAAGTAAAATTTTCTGCAGCCACCGTAAGTGGTTTAGACAGAGCTAGTTCGAAAAAAATCATATCGTCATGCTTCGAATACTGACGTTATAAACTCCACCTCAAATGCCCTGCACTTCGAAGTTTTATAAAAAGTTCTTTGCCCCTTCAATCCGATCGATCTGAACTTTATCTGCAACAAAAATAGTTCGCCTATTATTCAGTGCCAAGAGGTTTTTTTTAATTCTTGGCCAAAAAACCCTCTTTGCTTGTTAATGTCCCAGATTTCTGTTTTAAATCCTGAGAGTTCAAACCGCATCCAAAGTACATACAATGCAGCCAACAACCGGTACACATGTTTTTTAATCGAGAATAAATCAGGGATCACCGACCACAGCCTGAAGTCCCAAAGGTAAAATTGTTTGGTTTGCAAAGTATTTCAGGTAATGATTTGTTAATCGTTGCGGAAACGTGACTACCGAAAATAACATTGTTATTTTTCTGGGAAATTACTTGTTGTGGAGAAAACATTTTTTCTTTGTTATCTAACAGGTCGATGAACAAACAGTAAAGTTTACTGCTTTGCGATGGGTTCGAGTGTCAATTTGGTTTTGTCATAAAGTAGCCGGGACGCAAACGGGCTATTTGGGTCGGCAATAGTTTTGGTCAACACAAAGTTGATCGACACGAGGCTTAGGAGAAGAGGAGGCTTAAAAAAGCAACGGCTTGGCGGAGACTTTGTGAAGACCTACAGTTATACCAGTTTTTCTAATTTTAGCCTCTGTTAACCTTAGTTTTCTTGACGCTGAGTTATTGTAACATAGAATAGAACAAAGCCTGCTCCAAAAAAAAAAGATCCATAAGCTTTACCTGGATACTATTGCACTACTATACATCTAAAATATTAGGGTGTCCCATAAGTCTTGCAAATTTTTGGGCCGTCGATTTGTGCGAATTCCTGTGAGCTTTGAAAGGCATCGCGGAGAATGTTGGATACACGTGTTTGAAGCTGAGATAAAGCGCTTCGTATACTGCGCGTCAAAAGTTTGGAACAATCTAGATCTTCTTTGCGGCTTGAGATGGGAGTTTCATTTCTTTTCTATTAGAAGCTTCATTTATGGAGAACCTCAATGAATATATAGCCATCAACATCAGAAAGCTCGTTGGAGTTTAATAAAAAATTTTAAAAAATAAGTGCGTCAAAAGTTTGGAACAACCTTTGGAAGGTGATTGTAAACTTCGGGATGAGGCAGGATATCCACGAATTTAGTATTTTTGGATGATGCAAGGAATCAGAATGCCAGTGGCATACTGATTTTCAACGATAGACCCAAACTGAAAAAAATGCTTATTGAGCCAAAAATTACGGTCAAATTTGCGAAAAAAATAATTTTTTGGTTTCGGTTCTACATGTTATCGGTGTGTAAGCGTTCTAAAATATTTAATATGGTCGCATAATTGTAGAAGGGCACTCAGATCTTCGCATAGGGACCTTATCCGCACAGCATAATTTATGAAAATTTTGAGTTTTGCATTAAATCTTGATTTAATGTATTTTATATTTTTTATAGAGCGGCTTGGAGGCTAATTGGCTTTCTGACCGTCATCGTGGAATAAAAAGGTATTTTCAAGCATCAAAAATCCACGCCATTTACAACATCCAAGGCCACATCTTTCAGACATTAAAAATTTTTTAGTCCCAAAATCATTATTCATATCTCACCCGGATTTGTGGCGTGATATCTTGGAGAAATGGTTTATAATACTGTATCAGCGTGATAACGAAAAAGGCACTTAGTTTTGCACCATGCAGCGGCTTCAAATCGAAGATAAAAAATACGGGAATATTAACATTTCATATACCCGCCTTTTTTAAAGTTGTGGCCTTTGTGTTGCAAATAGCGGCCATGTTCTGCTTCTTGCATATACCTTTTTATTCCACGATGACGGTCAGAAAGCCAATTAGCCTCCAAGCCGCTCTATAAAAAATATAAAATACATTAAATCAAGATTTAATGCAAAACTCAAAATTTTCATAAATTATGCTGTGCGGATAAGGTCCCTATGCGAAGATCTGAGTGCCCTTCTACAATTATGCGACCATATTAAATATTTTAGAACGCTTACACACCGATAACATGTAGAACCGAAACCAAAAAATTATTTTTTCGCAAATTTGACCGTAATTTTTGGCTCAATAAGCATTTTTTTCAGTTTGGGTCTATCGTTGAAAATCAGTATGCCACTGGCATTCTGATTCCTTGCATCATCCAAAAATACTAAATTCGTGGATATCCTGCCTCATCCCGAAGTTTACAATCACCTTCCAAAGGTTGTTCCAAACTTTTGACGCACTTATTTTTTAAAATTTTTTATTAAACTCCAACGAGCTTTCTGATGTTGATGGCTATATATTCATTGAGGTTCTCCATAAATGAAGCTTCTAATAGAAAAGAAATGAAACTCCCATCTCAAGCCGCAAAGAAGATCTAGATTGTTCCAAACTTTTGACGCGCAGTATATATAATGAGGCCACATAAAGTACAGCTGCTACCCACCCTGCCCCGATATTGTACTAGACATTAAGAAAAGTTGGGGCTTCGGTAGTTCAGCCCCCCACGAAAGGTAGTTCAAACCCCCACTGTTTTGCCCGTTTCACACCCCACATAATGAACAAATTAGAATAATACAAAAAATGTAAGTGGGGGTTTGATCTACTACGTTGGGGGTTTGATCTAAAACGTAGGGGGCTTTTTCTAAAACGGAGGGGGCTTCATCTAAAACGTAGGTGGCTTGATCTAAAACGTAGGGGGCTTGTGCTGGACCATACAACTTGGATTAATTCTTTGAAATAAATTTTGGGGTTGAGAATGGACGAGGGGGGTTGTACTGGGTCATGGGGGGCTAAACTGGACTGGGGGGCTGTACTACCTTAGCCCCGAAAAGTTTTACCTGCTGATATTAAGATGAATATATGCTTTGCAAAATACGTCAAAAGATAGATGATGAGCTATATGAAGACCTGGTTGTAAATCTTAATCGAAATCAATGAGCTTTTTTCTATCCTCTTCCATGCACATAAAGACGAATCGATGCATCGAAACGTATCGCCAACCCGAAAACTCGCTATCAGACAGGCAATTTCCGGGCGACTCCAGCTTAGACATGGCTTGTGGCTTGACAATTTTAGGCTCACTTGTATATATGTAGTTACTCCATTCTAAGTTCATATGACCACAATATTTGACATGCCACTCAATAATTGAGTGCAAAATGTCATCACTTTTATATTCTTTTATTATTATCTCTAGATCAACAACTCTCTAACAAGAAACTAAACAAATTATGCATTATTATTGAATGATATACAAGTTCCTTAATTATTACATTCCATACCAAAAAAATTATGATTTACTGCCTCCACACAGCTTACACGACTGTCCACAAGTGCCTTTGATGAAGCTTTGCGGATAGTATTCGTTCTCACAGAACTTGTTTGCCACATATTCTTTGCAGCTAAAAATAAATCTTTTTTTGTTTTTTACTCGGGGGAAAACAAATATTTATCGACGAAATGAAAACTCCAACGTACTTTGGATCGGTGTCCGCGCACTCCACATCACACAGCTTACAGGTCTTCGGACACAGCTGCTCCATCAAAGTGGTGTAGGGCTGGAAAGGGGGATGGTAAAATACCGTCTACTTTGGTCATTGAATAAGTCACGTTTGGGAAACCACCACCAGAATTTCTGGTATATCAAGTTTAAAGTCTTTGGGAATACTTTTAGTCTACGCTTATAGGGTAAGTACCCCAAGTTCGACGCTCAGATTTGGATGAAACTTGGCACAAATTTAGAATAATTTTTTCTAAAATATATGCGAGAATCCTAGCTTGCGTTGTGCAGAAACAACCGAGATTTTGAGATCGAAAGTTGGCGAAAATTTAGGACTTTTTGCCGAATTTCGGCACGAAAAGTTTCATGCCTATTTCTACCATAAAGGGTAATGTCTCCACAAAAAATCAACTTTTTCCGCGCGGAACTGGCAAAGTTATGGCCAAAATTTTCTCTCTGACTGCCCTCCACTTTTAGCGTACTCTCTCGGCGGCAAAGATGGTTCAATATCTCGTTGTCGCTTGCAATGCGCGAACTAAAACTTTCAGGAATTGATATTCAGTATATGCCCGAAGTGTGTGAAAAATTTAAAGAAAATCTGAACGTCGCATTTGGGGTACTTCCTTTGTTAGCCTCTTGGCAAAGTTCTAGGCAAAAAATTCAGTAAAAAGAAAGACTTACCCATGTATTACAAAGCTGTTTCTTCTGTGCACAATCGGCTGCTTTGTCGGTACAGGCCTGAGCTAAAATACGGCAATTAAAGCTTGTGAAATTCGCAGTATTCTGATGACTTTTTACCCAACACTTTTCCGAATTTTACTATGTCTAGAAGTATGACTTTGTCGTTTTTTGTTTTGCATTTTTCACAAGTGGCAAAAAACCTTTGCAATTTCTGTTTAGATCGTCTGAAAGAACGCTGAAACCGCTCTCTACTGATATAAGTTTCATATGGTAGGGATTTATATAACGGCTTTTATAAAGCCTCCAAAATGACCAACTTCATCTTCAACTACGACAGCACATACATTTTTCCCAATACAACCAAACAATGTACAGTACGAAGACCGCAACGATACCAGCTAGCAAAGCATTTGTAACTTTTGACCTTCGATTACTCGAGAACAAAGTTCCAAGAGGCTCCATATTAGACATGGCTTTCAAGTAAAATATCCGCATAAATTTGAACAATTTTCCTTGTATTAATAATACTCACGAGAGAAACAGATTGTACAAGGCATGGCTAATGTAAGGCCAATTTTAGAAGACATGACGTGGGAAGATGGCTGAACAAACAATCCGAAAAACATATCTCTGCAAAAATGTTTCGGCGTTGAACAAAGGGGCAGAAACTAACATGAGACATTGATTTCGGTGAGCTTTAGAACTAGACTAGTTTGCGGCGAGGATTTGATCATGTCCACGGTTACAAATGTTAATGACTTCTTGAAATTGGCATAAGCGGGCATAATTTTTCATCGGAAGCATACAGATTATGAATTTGTGATAGTCACAAAAAGCCTATACTTTATGTTGGCCGCAGCCGGGAGAAGTTCAACGACTTTCCGTGAGAGGCAGGGCATAAATCATGGAGAACTCAGGCTGTGTAAAAAGGAAAGTGTTCCAAGCGCGACGCTTAGATTTCCTGTAAATTTTTCACTTTAGTAGGCAAGGCCAATTTACAGTGGCAGCGTACGATTTTGCATCCGGGAAGTATCAAAAACGTAGTAAAATGCCTCCTTCTCCAACTAAAACAACTCCGATTTCAAAAGCGCGCCCTTCAAAACGGAGGGGGACCTGATCCAGTGGCAAAAAACGTACTATTCTGCATCCGGGAAGTACCAAAAAATTTAGCAAAATGCCTCCCTCCCCAACTAAAATCCTCCATATTGTGCCCTTATCCTGACAAAAAGAGCGGCGTTTTTGAAATCGGAGTCTTTTCACTTGGAGAGGGAGGCATTTTGTTACATTTTTGATACTTCCCGGATGCAAAATGAATCGTTTTTGCCACTGGATCAGGTCCGCCACTGTACGATATTCTGCGGTCCATCAGAACGAGAGAATTGGGGAGATACGGAGAGCAGTCAGGGATATAAAAAAGTCTGTCTTTGTTGATAAAGGAGCGCGACCTCCGGTAAGAATAACATTCAGATTATTGACGTGTAGACTAGCAAAGGTGTCGACTATCGGCCATGTATCGATTGTTACTGCAAAACGCATACTTTGCCTTACTAATAGCTATAGAGTACACGGCTGTTCCAATGCTGACTGTACAGTATGATCCAGTGGTAAAAAACGTACCATTTTACATCCGGAAAGTATCGAAAATGTGGCAAAATGCTTCCCTATCCAAGCGAAAAAACTTCGTTTTGAAGGGCGCGCCCCTTTTCCTTACAAAAAGAGTGGGCGCGCTTTTGAAATCTGAGATTTTTCACTTGGAGATGGAGGTATTTTGCCACATTTTTTGATACTTCACGGATGCAAAACGGTACGTTTTTTGCCACTGGATCAGCTCCCCCACAAAAGAAATTATCGCCTACATGAAGTGCTTGTGGAATCGCCATCTCTCAACAGAAGAAGTAGCACGACTAGACCGGAAACATAATCAGTAGAATAGTACCGCATCTTCTTTCGATTGAATGTGTTCTCAAAAACGGAATGTTTTTATATAGCGGAATTTGTTGTTTAGTGTTGCATACCAGATTCCTGCCTGATGATCACGTTTTGCCTATGCAAAGAGCAGTCATTCCAAACTACCCACTGGTCAAACCGCCCACAGAATTTGCGGTAAAAAAAAGTCTTATATAAACAACTCTAATGGCAAAGGCCTGACTTGTGACTCAAGCAAAAAAAAAACGGAATATTTAAATTCAAAATTTCAAGTTTTGTTATGCGAAACGATACTCAACTTACGTCCACAAAACATGCAAGTTTTGCCGCAATAACTCTTCATCATCTGGTAGTAGAGAGAGTTGTAACAGACCGACTTAATCACACCGCAATCATTCAATTTGTCAGTACATTGGCCCGCACTGTAACTGTAGACGCCATCAGCAAGATCTGCGCTTTCGAATTCGATTTGATAACTCTCCCGCGAGTTCAAATCAATAGTCAATGTTTGGATTTCGGCCGAAGAAAACTTGCAGAAAAATGCGCAAATGGCGAGCAAAAAACGTGTAAAATGCATTTAGAGGTGGTAGTAAATGAGGCAAATCTTGGTTTTTTAGCAGTTTAAGTCGAAAATAAGCAACCGAAAAAATGAAAATACTAATTTTCCGCTAGTAATATACTTAGTTTAGTGATATGGCAATGAAGAAATAGCCCGATAACGCGGGGCCGGATTGGTTTTTATTGTCTTACACTTGCGTATACAAAGCCCTGAAGGCCTTTTTTCGTCATTGTTCGTTGCTTTTTTTGATATTAGTTGTACAAACAGTGTTGGTCCATCAAAATTAGAGCTAAAACAATGTCTGAATAGGCGTTGTTAGTGGTTTCCCTTGTACTAATATTATCAACAAACACATAATAAAACCATCGGACATTGAATTGATCAAAAAGCAACGTAGGAATGCAAATTTATTTGACTAAAATGACTCAAAATAGCTAGCTGTCCTAGTGCAATATACAATTTTGATAACTGTTGAAGTCTGGAGGGGGTTTTTGATATGAAAATGACTTGAAAATGTAGTACAGTGAGGGAGCTGATCCAGTGGCAAAAAAGTGCCATTTTGCATCCGGGAAGCATCCAAAACGTGGCAAAATGCCTCCCTCTGCAAGTGAAAAAACTTCGGTTTCCCTCACAAAAAGAGCGCGCTTTTGAAATCGGAGTTTTTTCACTTGGAGAGGGAGGTATTTTGCCACATTTTTGATACTTCCCGGATGCAAAATAGCACATTTTTGCAACTGGATCAGGTCCCCTATTGTAAATAGAAATTTGAGCAATGATATGGCAAGAGGGGACCATTAATTAAATCTTTTTGAAAATGACAAATGCCCTTGATATCAACAAAAAATAAAAATCTTGAAAATGAAGTGTAAAAGTCCTCTCAACATGCCTGATTACAGCTGTCATGCTCGTCAATATTTGAGTTGCTCGGATTCAAATCCTCATCAGAATCGACTTGATTTGAGATCTCGAACATCAAGCAGTGGAATTCCTCCGGATTGTCCGCATTCACATGATGACCGGCATTTACAAACTGAAAATCGATTTTTACCTCGCATTAACCTTGAAAGTTGTTTTAAATCGTTTTTACCAGGAAATTACTTCTATGGGGTATGGAGTTACAAGTCGAGACACATATCAAAAAAGTCGCAAAATTTTTCTGATTCATAATATGTAAAAGTTAGCTGCCTAATTTTGGTTTGTAAGGGTGAAAAAATAGTCAGAACTTGTCTCGGAACACCACACAAATACCTTTTTGACCAAGTTTTTACCAAATCAAAAGCTTTTTTTTTTGAGCTAAAGTAAACCCTGGTATCTTGACAAGCCTTACAATATCAAACTTGATTAATACTACACTTTAATTAGTAGTTCCAATATAAAAAAAGGGCATTTGTGTGGTGTTGCGAGAAGGATTTTTTGATATTGTAAGGCTTGTCAAGATACCAGGGTTTACTTTAGCTCAAAACAAAGTTTTTGAATTGTTAAAAACTTAGTCAAAAAGGCATTTGTGTGGTGTTCCGAGAAAAGTTTTGAGGATTTTTCACCCTTGCAAACCAAAATTAAGCAGCTAACTTTTACATATTCCGAATCTGAAAAATTTTGCGATTTTTTTTGATATATCTCTCGACCTGTAACTCCATACCCCATACAAGTACTTTTCTTGTTAAATTTGCCAGTCAAGCTTTTTATAAAACCAGTTTTATTGTTTTTGTTGTATTTTACCAATTTGCAATTTTTTGTAGGTATATAAAAGTACTTTCCTTGGAAATAAAAATTTCACCCAAAATCACCATTTTTATCCCTTTTCCCCTCCAAAACTCACCTCAACCCGAATGTAACAGTCGTTTCGGAAGTTCTGCAACTCATAGAAAGGTTCAGGGCTAATATTACTTCTAGATCCACAGATGAATGTGACTGGAACACCTTTATCGATGCCCACAAATCTCTCAATCATTGGCCGTTTCGGCCAGCAAAAGTCGTAACTCAACTGATGAAGGGCCGATTCGCCCGTTGGATTCCGAGCATTCGCTTGATAAATATACTCGTAAATCGCATATGGGTCCACGGAATTGAATTTCTTACGGAAATCGGCGCGAAAGATCCGGAGGAACGGGGGCGCTAAAAAAATTATATTATACTTGACATCAGAAAAAAAATTTCCGTGAATTTGGGCAAAATTTAGATAGTAAACTATATGAAAAGTCACCAGAATAAATATACGACCTTTTTTACCTACCAAGTTGCCCGAGCAATCGAAGAAACGTCAACGGATTAAACTTTGACAGGTAATATCCGAGAGTGTGAATCCATTGGTATGCGTAGCTCTGGAAGTCAATAAAAAGCCGTGAAAACCCTTTATTAGCTCGTCAAAAAGGTCTGTGAAAGAATTTCAAACTAAAATTCCTTCTTTAACAAAACGAACTTACCTGATCATCCGGTGGTTTGGGTACAAATCCCCATGGGTCCACCAAAACAAGATGCCGAACATGACTCGGATGTTCCAGAGCATAAGAAGCTGCCAGAAAACCGCCTAAACTTCATAATCTCACTAATGAATCGACTACTTACCAAGTCCATGACCAACCAAGATCATTTTTTCGATCTTCAACTCCTTCCTCCAATCGTCGATTGTTCGCACCCATTCCAACTCGGCTAATGTCGCGTCCGCGGGGAAATCAGGGCGAGAAGAGCTTCCCCAACCAAGTAGATCAAAGGCATACGTTGTTCGTTTCTTGGAGAGCTCATCCAAGTTCTGATTCCACACGGCTTTACCCAAAAACATGTCATGAATAAGAACGAATGGGATATCTTGTTTCTTAGCAGTTGGACGCTCTTGTTTGCAAACCACTGTGCACACTGAGCCGTTCCAATGTCTCACCTGCAATACTCAAAGTAATCACCGTAATAACATCCATTGTTACCGACAATAACATCCATTGTTACCTAAATTTCAACAAGAACAAAATAACCCACATACCTTTACTGATTTGTACTCCAAAGGCGTCTCCACGGTTTTCAACAGACTCTTCTCGGCCCAATCCAGTCGCTCCGGACTTGCTGCTGGCCATGGGATGTAATTTCTCGGATCATACAACCCCAGATAGTAACCATTTTCGTTCTTGAAATACGGACTTTGCACCTCCATGGAGAATATAAGTTGATTTGAGAGAGGAAACAGGAAACTGTACAAAGTCTACTCTTATTTACAAAAACAGCTACTTTTTTTTGTTGAAAAGCAATTTTTTTCATTTCGCAATTTTGTGGAGCAAATTAATTATTTTTTCTTCAAACGAAAAATTGAACTGCCAAAATCTCTGGCATTCTGTTACAAGGCTGATTTTTTGCGAACTTTTGTGGGCCTTTCGGGCGAAACGTTCCGTAAGCTGTTTGTCTAGAGACGTCTCGATGTTTGTGAAATACATAGCATTGGACTCCGTTTTAACTTTTTTTCTATCAGTTCAAGCATGAATAATATATTCTTCACGAATTATTTTTAATTTTTGGTAGGGAAAGGCGCGAAAAGTCTTTCGAAATGGCCTTGCGGCAGTGTATTATCGAGTTTAATATTGGAAATCGGATTAGAAACTGTTTTTACTGCTCTATGGAGAAGATTTTTTAGATTGGGAACTTAGTTTAGTTTTTCTTCACAGGAATTTAATTCATCAATTTTTAGGTGCAAACCACAATTGAACGAAAAAAAATTTTTGTAAAGTAATGAAGATTCTTTCTTCAGGTGCCTTATCTTTGCACTTTTTTCATAAACAATTTATATATATTCGTTTTTTTGATATTCTTCATGACATTGCCTCGTGTTTTTGTTTGCCCGAACTCTCGCGGTCACTTGACCGCTTGACCAGAAAAGGACCGCATTGCAAAAGACCCTAGCTCGCGTTCGTTATCACACACACAATCATCATCAGTTTAATTTCCTTTTTCGCGTCGCCGATATTGTTCTTCGATCAAGCTGAAAACGTGATTCGTTTTTGCGTCTTCTTGTGAGGTAATGGGAATTTTATTCTTGGTTTCGCCAACACAACTTTTTCTCGCGCTAATTGTTATTTTTTTGACAACAATTTTTTTATTTTTCACAATTATTTTGATGTTATTCATCCCGAGATTTCAGTTGTTTTTTTTTGTTATCCCTTGGGTATGGCCGAGACATCAGGCGGCGCCGATTACGAGGCGCTCGCCCCGACTTACAAACTCTGGGTTCATTTAACCGCCGGTGCAATGGCCGGTGTCGCGGAACATTGCGTGATGTTCCCCTTGGATTCGGTGAAGACCCGGCTGCAAAGTTTATGTCCTTGTCCCGAGACGAATTGCCCCACTCCGATCCATGGGGTCGCATCGATGGTCCAACGAGAGGGCTGGCTTCGACCGCTGCGAGGAGTGAATGCTGTAGCGGCCGGCTCTATTCCAGCACATGCGCTTTATTTTTCGGCCTATGAGAAGATGAGGGTAAGTTACTTTCCGTTTGTTCTTCGGTTTTTAGATAGAATTTGATGGTGGAGTTTGTCTGAACAGCTAGTAGAGGTGCTTCAGCAACTAGTAAATGCGAGTTTGCAGGATTTCCTCACCGGCCACACTCGTTCTCACTCAAATACTTTGGCCTATGGAGCAGCTGGCGCGTGCGCCACTGTTTTCCACGACCTGGTCATGAATCCCGCCGAAGTCGTGAAACAACGAATGCAGATGCATTTCAGTCCATATGGAGGATCTCTCGAATGTGCTCGATGTATTTACCGGAGTGAGGGCTTCGCCGCCTTCTACAGATCTTATTCTACCCAGCTCATCATGAATGTCCCCTTCCAGACGATTCATTTCATGGTCTACGAGTTTTTCCAAAAAGTCCTCAACCCTCAGCATCTGTATGACCCGCGAAGTCATTTGCTCGCCGGTGGATTGGCAGGTGGTATCGCGGCGGCTGTAACAACGCCTCTGGATTGTGTCAAAACCGTGTTAAACACTCAGCAAACTCCCGAAATTGATGCTAAAAATGGAAGGATACTGTTGAAGGCGACTAGAAGCTACGCAGGTGAGAGATTTGGCTTGAATCTTTGGGTGAAATATCTAGTTTTGTCAGTATATTGTTTTAGGTATAAAAAATTTTTTTTTGAAAATTGATCGAAGAATCATGTATATCATGTTTTGTTTGATTTTTCGCGGCATATTTTACCATTTGCTGTCTTTTTGGACGGATTTTTGACACCAAATTGTATTACACTAGGTAAATTTTCCAATTTCAGGTATTGTGGATGCCGTCTCGACAATATATCGAACGCGAGGTGTTACCGGTTTTTACCGAGGACTCCAAGCCCGTGTGATCTATCAAATGCCCGCCACTGCGCTGTCATGGAGTGTCTATGAGCTCTTCAAATTCACTCTGGATGGACATTAGCCCTTATTTTGCTTATTCAGATCCAGGTTAGATGTTTTTTGGTTGTATTAACAATAAAATATATACAAATTTTTGGAAAATAGTTTAAAAATTGAATTGGAACAGAAATTTTATATTGTAGTAGGCAAGTTTATTGTAAATTGTTATAAAGAAGTGACTTTTGGTTGCCGCGAGGCTTTGTACTCCTTTTTTGTGATGAAACAAGTTCCAGTATTGAATAAGAACACTTTTGAGCGGGACTGAGACGCCTTCTTGATGGCACAAATGTGGTAAAGGGCTCCGAATATTCCAAGGACAATTGCGACCTAAAATAAGGTCTCGGAAATCGAAAATATGGTCGGATACGAAAATAGACTTCTAATTCTACCTTGTAAACTTGTAAAAACAGGAAGAGAAGTGAAAAATTTTTGAGTTCTGACAAGAAATTTTACCACACTTACCGTAACCAAAATGCTAAAAATTTGGTTTTCCTCCCTGTTCAAGATGATCTCCTTTGCCATAAAGGGCACGGAGACAATGCCGGTGATCAAAGAGAAGTAGCCAGTAACGAATTCCTGCAAAAGATTTTGGTTTATTTATCAAAAATAAAGTCTTGTCATCTGCTCTCATGAATAATATAAAAATGTCTATAAAACGTTTCAAGTCGAAATATGAGGAGCCTTACCGTGATCACAGTGAAGTACCCAATGCCCATGGACTGTGTGTTTGTCAGGTAGCACAACACCAACAGCACTCTGACCAAGAATGAGACCAGAATGTGGGCGCTGACGAGAAATTCCCCGAAAAATGGGGGATGAAGAATGTAAACGAAGGTTCCGGCGGAGTATACGATCTGAAAACTGACATGATTTTCGAAATCAGCACCCTCGAAAACCCCTAAATCCAGTATTTTTGGAAAATTTTCAAAAAATTACTTTTTAACACTACTACTTAAGGAAAACTAGTAAAGTTCAGAAAAAATGAACATCATTTTCAAAATCAGCACCCTCGAAAACCCCTAAACCAAGCTTTTCCCGAAAAAAATCAAAAAATTTTCACCACGGGGTTGCTTTACCGCGGTTTGGGTCGCAATCGATGCGAGGTCGCAATCGAAAAAGTCTTGACATGTCTGCACAGTGCGCCGTCGCACATGAAATTTGTCGCGCGGCGAAAGAAAAACTTAGGGTGCAATGCGACCGCGCACAGTGCAAAAAGATTGTTTTGAAAACGGGTAAACAACGCACAGTGCGCTCTTCATTCGCACCCCGCCAAATTTTAATCGCGCGACATCTTGTCGCAACACCGAATTCATGCGCCCACACGGTGCGAAAACATGTCAAGACATTTTGGCCCGCGATACTAGTCCTTCCGTAAAGTCGCTGGAATGATTTCGGCGACGCGCACTGTGCAAGAAAACTCAGGGTGCGAGCGACGTCCCAAAAAGCTCATTGCACTGTGCAAAAAGCCAAAAATTGCACAGTGCAAAGTGAACTTTCGGTTTCGCGGGGTGCATGTCGCCGAAAACATTCCAGCGACTTTACGGACGGACTAGTAGTAATTGTACTTTCAGTCTGTCGGGAAAATAACGGCGGATTGTCGCAGAAAAATGTCTCGCCTCGCCGCTATCGCGCCCCAAATTCCAAGCCGCGGCTTGCAGTCGCAAAGTGATGATGGGCGATTCCGATGCGCGACGATCCGCCGTTATTTTCCCGACAGACTGATACCAACCAGCAGCAGGAGATTCAAAATCCCGTAGGGGCATTTGGCCAAGAATTGGAAATTCCAGCTGGAGCAGCGTCTGCAGACGCTGGATGAAGACGGTTTTTCGGTTGATGGAGAGTTTGAAGGGGTCTCTTGGGTGATACGGGCCATCTTGACGGGATTTCAGTGGGAATTACAGTGTGATCCAGGACGGAATCCACCGATTTTTGCGATTTTTCGAGGAAAAATGCAAGTTTTTGGAGGAATTTTGTATTCTTGATGACTTTTATAAAAAAGCTACTACTTTTCAAGGTAAAATACGATTTTCCAAAAAGATATGTTACTAGATTTCATTACTATGGAGCAGAACCTGAATTTAAGAATCTTTTACGTTTTTGCTACAGTAACCCAATGAAAACCCAATTAATTTCCAAATTACTCGTTTTACTAGCGAGATTTATTTATGGTGATCACGGTTTGGTTGCGCAAAATTCCAACGGCTAATTTACGATCTCAAAACATCCATCTTCACACTTGAACGCAACATTATTATCTTAGGAACCAATGGATTTTCTGTCCATTCTATTGAGAAATGGAGGAATTTGGGGAATGGGTATTGGTCTCGAAAACCACCTGGGGATCGGAAATTTTTCTGTGATTATTATGTCATTTATTATTTGGAGGATAAGTCTTCCGAAAGCAACGAATTTTTTTTACATTGGGTAAAAATCAATTTTTGCGCTGTCGGAATTAAATCTTCAGGTTTGAAATTTGCTGTTTGCTCAACAATTTTCTTACAAAAAGTTTCTTTTCTATTTACCAGGACAACTCGAAAAGTCATTGGCTAAAAACATTTTTCGTCAGGTTATTCAAATTTCGAGAAATTGAAAAATTTATGGGGTCCCCGATTGTTTTTTTTGATATTTACGATTTGTCGCACACATGTTTATTAGACGATACAGGGTGTAATCCCCCTACAGCGAAAGCCATGTTCGCCAAATACTGTCTCTAACGGACGGTTTCAGCGGTCCCGAAAGACAATTTTCGAGTAAAATTGAACCTCAGTTTACTGTTTACCGAGAAATTATTATACATGCAGAATAAAGACCTCTCTGCATTGAGTCTCAATCAGAGATTGCCATGGTCAAAATTTCGGCTCTGGCTCCGGCTCTTAGCTCCCAGAGCCGGAGCCGAGGCCTAATTTGCAGCTCCGGCTCCGGATCTTGGCTCAAGTCACATCCTCCGCAGTGTTTTTTCAAGCAATTTGGTTTAACAAGATCACGAAATTTTTACGTTTCTGACCGCTGGGAAGCCTGGCTCCGACTTTGGGCTCGGGAGCCGGAGCCGACCCCAAAATTTCCGGCTCCGGCTCTGGCTCCCGGCTCGGAGCCGCTCAGAGCCAGAGCCAAGAGCCGGCTCCGGAGCCGTGGCAATCTCTGGTATCAATACGATCAAAAAAAGATTCGTTATAGATTGGCGTCTTTGTACAGACGTGAATTTTGACATACAATTGACAGTTGGGGCATTGACAAATTGGTTGGTACGTATTGGCTTGCTTTGCTGTAAGGTAATTCTTTGCCCTGTTGAGCTTCCCCTAAAAACCCATGTCCTCCTCCACGCCACCAGCCCCATATCCAATGATGACCTTGTAACCAATTGCGTAATTGACACAATTTCCAAAAAAACTTGAATCTTGTATCCGAAATGGAGATCCCCATTCTTCTGTTCGATTCGTCTCCTAATGCGGTTGATTACCTCGAGGCTTGTGAGAGAATCGAATCAGATTGAGTTTGATTTTGTCGGTTTTTTCTGCATGGAGCGCGTTAATGGCGGGACAGCGGTGTTTGTGGGGCGACGGTGTGATTATGCGATCTTTGGGGCTTTTGTTTTTCGGAAAATTAGGGGGGGGGGGGTATTTATATGGATTTTTGGAAACGATATCCTGGGTTTATTTTTGGGGTTTGAGTCGATTGAAAAGCGATTTTTATTTTGCTAATTTTTTGATTAAATTTTTTTTTCTCTGATTTTCTTAGAAATAGGGGCGGTGTAATCTAAATACACTACAAATAAATTGTTGAAAATGTTAGCTCTTGCTTTGCAGATACGGTCGAGATATCCAGCAAACTTTTTTTTTGAAGGGATTACGTAAAATGAGGAGAGTTCGAAACTTTTGAAGCCGCTGGAAATGCGCTGCAACGTCTTGGGTCAGCTGTAGTTTGGGTCAACGATACTATGGATCGCGTCTATTCGTCCTTGTATACATGGAGGAGGCTAGGAGAAGACTTTGTTAGTGGAAATGATAAGATGGATTGGGAAGACTAACACTAGTAATAGCTAAAATTAGAAAAAGTGGAACTATTGCAAGTCTTCGCCAAGAGCCTTCGCCGAGCCTCCGCCGAGCGTCCGCCGACCAATCCATTGGCTTTGCCAGGCCTCGTAGGCACTTCCTACAACCTGTTTTATTAGGTTGGACGGAAAGCCCGTACGATTTGTTACCCAACTTTGAAATTAATTTTTTTTGCGCCACGACCGACTGTCCACCGTAGATACCTAGTATATACAAGAGCACAGCGTGCAGATTTATGTGATATGTGCCAGTCGTTCGCTAGTCGGAGCCAGTGTACGGACTTTCCGTCCAACCTAATATTATTCACCTTCCCTACGCCCCGTTCATCGATTTCGTGTTGACCCGAACTGTCATCGACCCGAAAAGTCGGGACGCGGCTGGAACAGAGCTTATAAGCTGGAAAGAATAAAAAATTAGACTTTTTGTCTTTATCCTACTCAAAAACCAAATTACCGTTTTTCTGAGGTTACTGTGAATTGATATAGTAAAATTTTCATGGTCCCTTCGTTTTACAATAGAAATTTGACTGTATTCTTTGAAATACAAATGTGGTTGCTGTGTTATTGTGTCAACATCCGATTAACGCCGCTTTCTTGACTACTCCCCACTTTCAGGCGAACTGTTGAACAAAGATTTTGATTGTCATCGTTTGGCGAACGCTTCAATTTTTTGTCAATTAAAAGTCGACTTTCTGATCTTTAAAATTCCAATTTCCACCTTTTTTGTTCTTAACGCAATTAACACTCCCCATGATTTCCTTCACCTGGGTTTTAATTAAAATTGAGATTCTTTTACCCACCTTTCCTTCGAATTAATTTGGATAAAACAATCTTTTTCTCAATGTGTGTTCTTTCAGGGTTGCCTTGCTTGGATCTGTGGTTCAATTCGATTTTTTTATCGAGGATTTGCAATAAAAATATTGCTGGCGTCATCGACAAATTGGTACGCCGATTTCCGAAATATGAGCCAATTCGAGGCCACTCGGAAAGTAAGTTTTTTTTTATTTTATGACTTTGCAATGGATACCAGAAAGCTTTACATGTGCTAAGCCTGTTCGCAATGTCGCTGAAATTATTTCCGCGACCCGCACTGTGCGGAAACAAAATTTCATTTTGCACTGTGCAGTTTCTTGCTTTTTGCACCGTGCAATAGGTCTTTTCGGGCTGTCGTACCCTGACTTTTTCCGCACAGTACACGTCGCTGAAATCATTCCACCGACTTTGCGACAAGTCTTCTTGGTCCTCCAAAACTTTTAGCTTGCGCTTTTTAACTGTTTCTGTGCTGCGGGTTGGAATTTTTGGAAAATCTTTTTTGTGGAGTTGTCTCGGAAAAAAAATTTTTGTGAAGTAGACTTGATGATCTTCTAGACTAGAACTATATAAAATGCCAAAGGTACCATTAAATCCTCCTTTTTGCCATTTTGGACATCTTTTATTTGCAACCTGCAGCTACGAAAAAATCAAAAAATTAGAGTAGCCATCGAAAGAGACCCCGGAGTTGAAAGAGACCCCCAAGGGTAATCGATGGTGTAGATTTCAAAAATCATATTCGTTTTTTCTGATTCTTACTTTTTTGCTTAAGTAGGAATGTTAAAAAGTAATTTTTTGAATTTTTCTAAAAATAGTCGATTTAGGGGTTATCGAGGGTGCTGATTTCGAATTCCGGGTTCACTTTTTCTGAACTTTACTAGTTTTCCTTAAATAGTAATGTTAAAAAGTAATTTTTTGAATTTTTCCAAAAATAGTCGATTTAGGGGTTATCGAGGGCGCTGATGTCTTTTTAACATTACTACTTAAGGAAAAAAGTAACTATCAAAAAAATGAATGTCATTTTCAAAATCAGCACCCTCGAAAACCCCTAAATCCAGTATTTTAGAAAAATTTCAAAAAATTACTTTTTTAACATTACTAGTTAAGAAAAAAGTCAAAATCAGAAAAAACATATACGATTTTTGGAATCTACGCCATCGATTACCCTATTTTTGATTACCCTATTTTTCACCTTTTTGGGCAAACATCGAAAGAGACCCCCGTTTCCGGGGTCTCTTTCAACTCGGGGTCCCTTTCAAAGAAAACCAAAAATTGAAAAGAGTGGGCCAAAAAAGAACGTAACTTTTCCCATAGTTGTACCGACCCTTCAAAATTTACCTTTTTCCCGCTAGATCTTTGCTTTTTCTCAGCTCTTTACACTTTCTTTTCAGTGGAACGAAATGATTTGCAAGCTCTACCACAGTATTCCTCGGCCGTCCGCCGAGCGTCATCATGTCGACGCGTTTACGGGCAGAGACGCAGCCAATGCTTTGGAGAGGGTCTTGATGGAGGTGTTCCCTGAACGACAAGTCAAAAGGGTCAATGCACTGAGGGTGTTGCAGAAATTGGTTGAAGACTCGGTGATCGAGAGTGATGATTGCAAGAGATCCATGGCTTTTTTGGACCATTCAACTGTCTTTTATAAGTGAGTCGGAAATTTTTAAGAAAAAAGTTTTTGGCGAAAAATGAGGATTTAAAGGGTGGATTATGAAGAGTAAAATACGCTGAAGGCAAGGTCATGTTTTAAATTGAAGAAAACCATTTTTAGATTTACCTCATATGGACTGGAAAAACACATGCCTGAAGCTTTGGAGGCCTTCAAAAAGATGGATTCTGAAGGCGAGAAGTCAAGAAAACGAAGGAGATCGGGCAGCACAGCGGCTAGGACTTTCTCTCAAATAAGGTGAGTTGGATTGGCCCCAAAAAAGTTTCAACTAAATCCCAATTTTTCAGAGAAAAATGTCGTCGATTCATGTCCACCGACCGAACCCCCAAAAACAAAGAAAACGTCTCTCCGGACTCTCAAATTCAACTGCTCTCTTCCAAATGCATTACCCCTCAAATCGACCGCTTCCGGCCCTACATGAATGGTCGAGTTCAGCCGTTGAACCAGACGATCGGGACTCCGCACATCTCCAAATTCTCTGAAGCCAAGAGAAGATCGAGAAGAGACATTTTCGACAATGGCACCGTTGAGGGACTGTCTTCGCTCAGTTTGACGGATCGGGCCAAAAGTTTTTGCACCAAGCCCAATCAGGCGATCAATCGGGAGACCAAAAGTCTGGGGAATTATTTGGGACGAAGGAAGGCGAGTTTCGGCTCCACGGAGAGGCTGTTCGACCGATTGAAGAGGATTTTTTGAGTGCTTATAGATTGTTTATAGTGATATTTTTTTAATTAAGTTGTAATTGCTGTAAAAAATATTCCAAATCGATCTGAAATACGCCTAAAATTTGTCATCATTTTTACCCAAAATACCACGATTTTTGAAAAAAATGATGACAAAAAAAATCTTTTTTTTTAATTTTAGGTTGATTGGAGTATAGAGTCTCATATATAGCTCCCTTTGTAAGCATTATTTTTGTACAAATCACTGATTCCTCTTTCCAAAAAAACGGGTGAAAATGTATTTTTTTGCTCAAGCTTTGATGCATTTTCTGAACTTTTGAACTTTGTTAACACGATATTATTCGAGTAAATTGTAAAATACAACCATCGAACCTTGTTGATTATGTACTCTCGACTTTTTTCTTCAAGAATAAATTTCACTTTGTTCGAGAAATTTTATACTTTTTCTTCCATTCCCCACGCTTGAACAAATTCAGAGGGTGTGAGATGACAAATTAGGAATAAAGAATTAAAAATAAGCGCTGCTAAGATATGATAATTCATCCATCAGTGTCAACAACCTCTTGCGTCAATTCCTCAAAGGATATTTTGGGCCGTGTCAACGGAAACTGTAAATATGTCAAGGGGAAATCGAGCGAAAACAGAGTGATGCGGATTAATTTGCATCCACCCTCACCTTTTTTTCGGAGTGCGGTCCATTGAACATTGGAGGGTGTGGGATATCGTATATAAAAATAAATATAAGAAAAACAAAACTTGCAAGTTTTGTGGAGGAAATACGTACATGCATGAAAGACATACGTCTATAAAAGAGGGAGGAAAAATAGTATGAAGATTAAAAATGATACATGAAAAAATCTACCTACAGTGAGGGACCAGATCCAGCGGCAAAAACCATATCATTTTGGATCCGGGCAGCATCAAAAATGCGGCAAAATGCCTCCCTCTCAAACTAAAAATAAACTCCTTTTTGTGAGGGAAAGGGCGCGCCCTTCAAAACAAAGTTTTTTCACTAGGAAAGGGAAGCATTTTGCCACATTTTTGACGCTTTCCGGATGCAAAACGGTACGTTTTTGCAACTGGATCTCACAAAAATATCGGGCGCACTTTTGAAATCGGAGCTTTTTTCACTTGTAGAGGGAGGCATTTTGCCACATTTTTGATGCTTCCCGGATCCAAAGTGATACGTTTTTTGCCACTGGATCAGGTCCCTCACTGTAAAAATGGCATATGAAAAGGTATGCTTTGAGGGCTGATCTTCCATCTTTTTTGATACATAGCAATTATATTATATATCTATTATATTACTTCGTTTGTGCCTATTCTCTTTACTAATCATAGCGGATTTGTGCAGAACCCATTCTAAAAATTCCCTCCAAATCCCCTTGAAACTGTTCTAGAATCCAAGTTTATCTCTTCAGCTAACTTATAAGCCCTATGATCCTTCGGCTAATCCTAAAAACGTTACGAAACCGACACCTTCAGACGGATCAGCCATTACTCATTTCGCTACTTTTAGCCCGAATTCTCAGCATTTCTCGAAAAATTCATTCTAATCCGGATGTTTGTGCCCTTAGGGGATAATCGCATTTCTTTTGCAACCGTCCCTTTCCTGCCTTACAGGTCAATAAATGGTTTTCCGTTGAATCCTTCGTTGCATTTGAGGATTCAACGCGTTAAACCGTTTTTGATGTAGAGCTGCCCAAAATGGTAAAAATCTTGCCCTAGAGCTTTCCAATAGCTCTAAATTGGATTTAGATTATGTGATTTAGACCTGTATTCACCTTCTCCTTTCAATAAAAGTGCATGGTGACCTGGCGGTGTAGATCCGGCAGATACCCTCTTGTCATGCCCAGCTTTGGCGACTCATTAGCTTTCTGACCTAGGGGCTAGATATGGTCGTTAGGTTCTCAATGCAATCCTGAGACTCCTACTTACTCTCAAACAAAGAATAAACTCCCACTGACACGATCTCATATGGTTTGCAGGCGCAACTTTGCCGATCTGCACCTTAACCAGAAAACCGAGTTTTTCAAATGGATTTTTACTGACGAAAAATGGCTTGCATTAGATGGCCCACGTAATTTAAGAAGCTACGGCAACCGCCGTATACGTTTGAGACGTATCGAACGCCAAATCGCCTGCGGGGATCTGATCGTCCTCAGGGGCATCTACAGTAACGGCAAACGCAAGATTAAGCTGAATGAAACCCATTACAAAACGTGTCAAATCGAAGCATTTTACATTACTGAGTGTAAACAGGAGTCTCAGGATTACATTGAGGACCTAACGGCCACACCTAGCCCTTTACTCAGAGAGCAAATGGGTCGCCAAGGCTGGACATGACAATTGGATATCGGCCGAATCTACACCGCCAGGTCACCATGCACTTTTATCGAAAGCAGAAGGTGAATACAGGTCTAAATCACATAATCTAAATCCAATTTAGAGCTATTGGAAAGCTGTAGGGCTAGATTTTTACCATTTTGGGCAGCTCTACATCCAAAACGGTTTAACGCGTTGAATCCTCAAATGCAACGAAGGATTCAACGGAAAACCATTTATTGACCTGTATTCAGGTATGAGACGTCCATTACGAGAGGTTTGGGCGATATCCGCTGGCGACATCTAACTTTATTTAAGGGGGGTCAAAACTTTTTCCTCGATTTTTCAAGTTGATTTTTGAAAATTGCTCCTGGATTTTGCAATTCAACTGTAAGATATGTCCTGCTATGTTATTTTTTGTTACTACCCTGTGAGTAGACTACATACCAAATTTCGTCCGGATTAGTACACTTTGGGCCGAGTTAGGAGGGGGGTCAAAACATTGTACGCGGAGTATATTTGGATTTCAAGTCTTTGGGTCTCATGCCCTGAAGCGATCAGAAAAGGGCTTAGTCTTCTATTTCGAGAGTGCGGATTAGCGGCCGGATATGCCTTTTAGGCGATTTCCAATCCGCCGGATGTGTTTTGGGCATAAAGTTAGTCATAACGGATCAGAAAATGAATGTATTGGGGATTAATGAGGAGTAATGTGATTTTGGGATTGAAATAGTGCTTTGTGACCAAAAATTTTTAGAGCATGCAGTTATTATATGTAAGATGGGATTGTTGTAAAAATACCTTGTTGTATGAGAAGTGATTTTGACCGTATGGGGAAAAATAATAGCATTGTTTAGTATTTATAGTGCGGGCTGAACCAGTGGCAATAAACGTTCCATTTCGCATCCGGGAAGCATCAAAAAATGTGGCAAAACACCTCCCTCTGCAAATGAAAAAACTTCGTTTTAATGGCCCTCACAACAAGAGTTGTCCTGACAAAAAGAGCGGCGCTTTTGAAACCGGAGTTTTTTCACTTGCAGAGGGAAGCATTTTGCCACATTCTTGATATTTCCCGTGTCAAAAATGGCATGTTTTTTGCCGCTATATCAGGGTTCCCACTGTATTGTGTTTGAAACGTCTTTTAGAACGTTTTTCTTATTCTAATCCCAACTTAATTGCCTATAACTACTAAAAACGGATAAGCGCCTCATTCATATTGGAATAGAAAAACGCGGAAGCTATTGTATTAGCCAGCTATAAAAATATAAATGGATTAAAAGCTCTATTGCCAACTTTTTTTATATCTTTTCCGGAAATACCGTAGCAATCTTTGTCAATGTTTTTATAGTTTTTATCAATCCGCCCTTGATATTTTCGTCTCAAAAATTGTAGACAACAACAGAAATTGAGTTATCACATCATACTCTAAAATTCTTGTGTAGCAGAGTGTTAGATAGTATTGTACTTGCGAGTGTGAAATTAGGGTTGAAACTGTCAATACTTTGGATCCGAAAGGAACTGGGACGATTGGGGAAACCGAAAAGTATTATTTTTCTTCGATGCAAATGTCGAAATTAGTATAATCGAGGGTGCTGATTTCAAAAATCGCATTCATTTTTTTGATAGTTACTTTTTTCCTTAAATATAGTACTGTAAAGTAGTGCTTTTTTGAATTGTTTTCATAAACACTCGATTTAGGGGTTTTCGAGGGTGCTGATTTCGAAAATCAATTTAACTTTTCTTTTCGTACTAAATAGTACTATCTGATGCTATGTAGTACGAGGTGAAAATATGGCTTTTGACGTTGAGAGTGTTGCTTTGATACTTAGTACTTTTCAAAAACACATGTTTTAAAGACTTGGTGCTGTATAGTACTATCTGATACTATGTAGAACGAGGTGAAAATAAGAACTAAAAATATAATATGTTCGTTAACTATGTATTAGAGTAAATTGTCAGAGCTCTATAAAGCGTCAGCCCAAAAATACGGTTTCAAGTTTACTCTGACATAGAGCAACGGCCGGGGCCGGTCAGCTCGAGCCCCCGGGCCACTTCGGAAGCCATTGCTTGTTTGGCCAGGATTTGTGAGTTTCTAATAAGTTTGTGAAGTTGATAGACCCGGTATACTAAAGGTCTCACTGAAACTCAGGACGTTCCCGGTGTCCCAATAACAGCTCATTGGCTGTTGAAAACCACCCTTTTTTTACCAAAATTGGAGTAACGATTACGAAAGTGAGTGGGTATTGGTCGGACTGTCTGGACCTTGTGGCAATAACGAAGCCCTTGAGTTTGTAGTTTTTCTAGAAGGAATTGCATATTTGTTAACAAATATGAAGGAATTGTACGGCTTCGTTTTCAATTTCAAGTCACAGACTACGGTCATGCTAAAAAAAATTTGAAATGCAGTCTTCTCAACCTTTTTCTCCTTCGCTGCCTCGGCAAAATTCAAGATACAGTCACGGACCTGCAATAGTGGCAAGAAACGTACAATTTTGCATCCTAGAAGTATCAAAAAATGTGGCAAAATACCGCCCTCTGCAAAAGAAAAAACTCCGTTTTGAAGGGACACGTTTTTGAAATCGGAGTCTTTTACTTGGAAAGGGAGGCATTTTGCCACATTTTCGATGCTTCCCGGATGCAAAATGGTACGTTTTTTCGCCACTGGGTCAGGTCCGCCACTGTATTAGTTTG